GCCGGTTTACTAGGGTTTCCAAATTTAGCTCTAATAGATAAACGTTGGTTTATCTCTTAACCATTTTAAAAAAAAAAAAAAAAAAAATCTAGAGATTGATTTTAGAAACTAATTTGAAATTAACCGATTAAGCTTAAACCGATCGGACTGATCGATTAAACAACAAAACCGGTTAAATTAGATTTAATTTTGGAAACCGGTTATTAGGGTTATTAATCGGTTAAGGGATTAAACTAAACGGATTTGCTAGGGTTTAATTTTTATTAGGAAAAACCGATCGGTTTAAACTTAAACCCTATCGATTTAGGATTAGAATTTATCGGTTTATAAACGGTTTAGGTGGATCGATTGGTTTAGAGTTTAAGGGGTCGATTGGTTTAGGATTTAGGAGCTTGCATGGACCGGTTTTAGGGTTTTCATGGATCGGATCTAAGATAAATAACCGATCGGTTTAAGATTTAAACCGATCGATCTCGGTTTAACGATAGACAAACCAAAACGATTTTAGATCTAGGGTTTTGCAAAGATTTAGGTTTCGGTTTGCAAGGAATTTTAGTGTTTGGTTTAGATGATGCTAGGACCGATCGGTATAGGGTTTTATCGGAGGTGCACCGATCGGTTTAGGATTTGAACAAAGCATTAGGGTTTATGTTTTATATGATAAAGCCGATTAGGAAAAATAAAACCAATTAGGGTTTTGACAAGAAGAAAGAGGATCGGTTTGGTTATGGTTTTAAAAACGAAAAAGACGATGAAGAATCATGAAAAGAACCGATCCATATTAGGGTTTTCAAAAAAAAAACCAAAACTTTGATTAGGATCTATAGTTTTAGATAATACCTTTTCGCCAAATGGATTTCTGACCGGCTTATGATCTGGGAGTTAAAGACCACAGATATCTACTGGAAACTCCTGAGAATGATGGCCAGAAGGGAGGACGAACAGCTGCTACAATGGAGGAACCACCGCTTGGAAAGAATCACCCGCTAAGGTGGGACAGCGCCGATTGTTTTGAGTCTTGAGGGCGCGTCTGGTGTCGGATTGAGGAGCGGTTTTCACCACTAGATTCTTATCTTCCAGTGCTTCAAAATGATATGTAGATCGCCTTCTAACTCCTTGTATTTTGAGAGATATGATCGTTTGAAGTTGAGCTTTGTGCTGATAACGTATTAAGGGAAAAACTCTTTTCTTATTGTTTCCATAAGCAGTGTATATATACATTACATAACTAATGTATCAGAAACCCTAATGGGCCATGAGACATTAACCTGATGGTTAATGGGCCGGTTACTAGAAATCCATTTGTTTATAACAAAATCCAAAATTTCTAATCAATAAAAAACTTTTTCAAGGGTATGCTAATTAGGGTTGAAATTATTATTCAATATTCGAGATCCGTTCTGAGATCTGCTCCAAAAAATCTGGATATTTGAGAGGATCGGATCCGGATCCAGAAAGTAATATCATATCCATCAAAACTGGATTCGGATCTGGATAGTTAAATTATAAAATCTGGATATCTGTATCTGAATTCATAATCTTTAAATATATTAAAAATTATATTTTATTGATAATTTTATAATATAATTAAGATTTTTATATATAAAAGTAATTAAAATTAAATGAAAATATTTTTCCTAGTAAAAATTTTATTTTATTACAAAATAGTAAATAAAAATTAATTTTATAATAATTATAATATTTTATTATTTTTTTTAGATCCGAATATTCACATATATCTTAATATTTATGTGAATATCCGAAGTCCGAATATTCGGACCTCTTAAATACGGATCCAGATAATTAAAACTCAGATTCGACTGATTAGTATCACAAAATTACCCGTATATTGCTCCGTTCCAGAGCTAATGCTTTTTTTTTGGCAAAATAGATTTTATTAATTAAATGAGTTTACAAAGTCTGAATACAAAGGTGCAGTTAACCATCTAGGTGGATACAATTTTGAAGAGTAGAAAATTGAATTTAAAAGACCACGTTTTGCCAACACATGAGCTGGGGCATTATTTGTTCTCTTAGTGTGATTAAATGAACAATCATCAAATTTTGCCTTATATGTCACTGCAAATGTTGTCAATGGAAAACTCTGAGGATTTGTTATGAATAACGTCAATAAGAATTTTGCAATCTCCTTCAAAGATTAGACATCTTAATCTTGTACTCCAAAATTGTTGCATTGCAATTAAAAGAGCTTTTGCCTCTGCTTCCAGTGGTGTAGATGTTTTACCTATTGAGGAAGACCCCCAAAAACAATGGTTTCCGTTATGATCACGGACGATCCAGCATGCAGTAGAAAGCTGATTTACAGGATTAAAACTTGCATCAAAATTGCATTTAAAAGTTTCAGGAGGTGGTCGATGCCAAACGTTTTGATGATTTTGTAGACAACCAGATTCATTGTTGTGAACAGTACATCTAACTTGATTTTCAGAATTTGATATATTTGCTTGAATCCATTCATTAACGTCAATGTTTGCATAACTGATGACTCGTTTTGGACGCACTCTTTGTTTTTTGAAAATCAAATCACATCTAGATTTCCATATTCGCCAAATTATCCAAAAAGGCTGAAGTTTTTGAAAAACTGATGGAGCTTCAGAATTGTGAAAATCAAGTAGACTTGAGAAATTATTATCACAATATTCCTCATCTGTATCACTCGGTTGCCTTTGGACACTGGGACATTCGCCAAATCATTTTGGAGACAGGGCAAGTAAACATTGTGTGATTTATTGTTTCTGGAGACAAACAACATCGTTGACATGTTGAATCCATAAGAATCCCTCTTGTATTTAATCTAGTCACTGTTCCAATAGCTCTAGTTAAAATACTCCAGAGAAAATGTTTTAGTTTTGGTATAATTGGTAGTTTCCAGATTTTTATTTTAAGCTCGGAATTTCCATGTGGAGCAACAATTTCTTCTATGTTGTCTTGGAAAGCTAACCAATATCCACTCTTGACTGTATATTCCCCTGTAGTGTCGTGAATCCAAACAGGTCTATCAGATTTTGAAAATTGCGGAAGATATAAATCTTTGACAAGTTCCTTTTCTTCTTCGTTGAGATAAGCATCCAGCATTTCTGGCTTCCATGTGTGAGGTGACTCATTGATGAAAGTTTTAACCAAAACATCATCTTTTCCATGAACATTTGTAGCTGGTTTTGGTGGAATTGTTGGAATCCAATTATCTTCAAAGACTTTTGTTGATTCTCCATCGCCAATGATGTGGCGTATTCCTCTTTTTAATAATTCTAAACCATTAAGAATCGAACTCCATCCATAGGATTGGTTTGTCCGAGCTTTGGCTTGTAAAATCGAAGTGTCCTTGAAATATCTAGCTTTGTACAGTTTAGCTAGTAATGTATTCGGGTTTTTGAGAATACGCCAGGCTTGTTTAGCAAGTAAAGCATCATTGAACTTAGTGAGGTCACGGAATCCCAGACCGCCATTCTTTTTTGAGTGCTGTAACCGTTTCCATGTAATCCATGAAATTCCTCGATTTTTATCTCCTTTCTCCCACCAAAATCGCATCAACAAGGAGCTTATTTCATCCGTAATTTTTACGGGCAATTTAAAGCAGGACATAGAGAAGACCGGCATAGAGATTCCTACAGATTTGATTAGGATTTCTTTACCCGCTTGGGATAAAAAAATTAGCACTCCAATGGGACGTACGTTTTCTCACTTTGTCTATGATGTACTCAAACATTTCTCCTTTTTTACGCCCAAATTGTTCTGGCAAACCCAAATATTTACCGCCTCCACCTTGCTTATCAATACCAAGAATGTTTTAAGTCTGATTTGAAGATCACCAGGTATTCTTGAACCAAAAGTAATCATTGATTTAGATGGGTTGATTTGTTGACCAGACATTTGTTCATAGCTCTTGAAGATGTCTTGAATTGCTTTGCAGTTTCGATTGTTAGCTTGGCAAAAAAAACAGAGAGTCATCCGCAAATAAGAGATGAGTAATGGCTGGAACCCCATTTCCTATCTTTATTCCACGTATTTTGCCCATATCTGAAGCAGATTTGATCATATGGCTTAGGACATCAGCACAAAGTATATATAGATATGGTGATAAATGATCTCCTTGTCGTAGCCCTCTTTCTGGGATGATTCTGCCTTGTGGATTTCCATTGATGAGGACTGAATATTCCACTGTGTTTACTGTCACCATTATCCAACGAACCCATTTTTCATCAAAACCAAAAGCCCTTAATGTGTTTTCTAAAAAATCCCATTCTATACGATCATATGCTTTGCTAATATCCGTCTTAATAGCCATATATGTTTGAGAAGCTCTTTTTCTAACCTTCAAGGAATGCATTAGTTCATGAGCTATAAGGACATTGTCAGTGATCATACGACCAAGAATAAAAGCTGCTTGCGAATCAGAAACAATGGTATTTAGGAAACCCTTTAAGCGATTAACAAGGATTTTTGATATAATTTTGTATACAACATTACATAATCCAATAGGTCGATATTCTGATAGAGTTTCCGGTTTATCAACCTTTGGAATCATGCAAATATTGGTGTTATTGATTCCTTGTTTCATTTTTGAGGTTAAGAAAAATTCTTTAACCTCTTGAATTACCGCTTCACCAACTGTATCCCAACATTGCTGATAGAATCGGGCTGTTAACCCATCTAGTCCAGGTGTCTTATCAGCACCAATCGCATCAAGTGCATCCTTGATTTCTTTATTTGTAAGCACCAGAGCTAATGCTTATCCGTAGCATTGTTTGAAAGAAAAGAATCAGTTTTTGTTTTTGTTCAAAGAGATATTGTTATTAAGAACGCTTGTAATGGTAATTAACAAATGAAAATTGTTAATCGGAAAATGCTAGTACAGTATTTTCAAAAAATACTATACGGTAAAAAGAGAAGAAATTATAAGCGATCCACAACATAACATTCCTATTTTTTTTCCATAACATTCCTATCTAAGTATCTACTACTATCTAGACAATCGAATAAATCTCAGCCGTTGATCTACGCTGTATAATTAAGCAGGACTCCGTAAAAGTGCCTCCTCTGTGACTTCTGCTCCGTCGCTCAGATAGGGATCTCAACGCATCACAAACCCTAATTTCGAGACTCGATCAGAAAATGGCTTACGCTTCTCGTTTCCTCTCCAGATCCAAGCAGGTACACTCTCTCGCTCGATTCTTCTGATTCATTTAAAAATCTGTTGTCTTCACGATTGTTTTGATCCTCTTTCGTCGGTCTCTTTGATTCCATTTCTTTTTCCTCCGAATTTCTGGGTTTTGTGTCTTTCGATTGCGATGATGGGTTTGATGCTATCTATCACCGAATCACATCCCTTTCAATAATGTCGTTTTCGTATGTAAAATCTCGATTGGAGAGTCCGTTGAATCAAATGAGAAATTTTTAATGGTAATGAACTCTGCTGGTATGAAATGGATGGGCTTTTCCTGGCTCGAAATGAAGTGTTTGAATCGGATATTATGTTTCTCATCGAAACCATACGTATCTGATATCAGTGATTAGCTGTGAACTTATCTTACCATCATTACGCAGGTACAGGGGAGTCTTGTCATTTTGCAGCAGCACCATGCTATTCCAGTCCGCTCCTTTGCTAAGGAAGCTGCTCGTCCAACATTTAAAGGAGATGGTTGGTGACCAAACTTGATATCTTTGATTTGTAATTTTGTTTAAAACATTATGCTTTTTTTTGTTGCATAGTTATGTATGCGATTTCGCTTACACGATTAGTTGAATTCGTTGCTTCTGGTTGCATTGCTTTTCTGAAAACAGTTGCTTTCTTTTGTTTAGCCGTTCATGCTCTTGAGTTTAACGTGGTTTCTTGCTGAGAAAATGTCAAGTCACTTTCTCATTGTGAAATCTCTAGAGAAACATTTTTGGTAAATGCAATATGTTATTGTGAAGAAGCTGGTTATCTCTTTACTTCTTCTGTTGAGTTTATATTTATTCTGTTTATGATGGATTATGTTCAATGCGTTGGTGAAATCTGTAGTGTGTGTTTAGAGTGATGTGACATTGTTATTGTTTACTATGATCGACTAAAGTTTTCAACTTTTTGACAGAGATGTTGAAGGGTGTCTTCACGGAGATCAAGAACAAATTTCAGGCTGCAGTTGATGTTCTCCGTAAGGAAAAAATCACCCTTGATCCAGAGGACCCGGCTGCGGTAAAACATTATGCAAATGTCATGAAGACCATCAGGCAAAAGTAGGCCTCTTGTTACGCTTCTCTAGTTGTTTGTTATTTTGCTCAGTTGTATGTTGCTGTCTCTAATTATGTTTGTTGGGATTTCATGATTTAGCTATTTCAATTTTCCCGAATCTAATTTGTCATATGAGTTAGGGTTATTAAATACATTGTTTATTTTTGTTTGCGTTTTGCCTTGTATGCAGGGCAGACATGTTCTCTGAATCTCAACGCATTAAATATGATATTGAGACCGAGACTAAAGAGATCCCAGATGCTCGTGCATATCTATTGAAGTTGAAGGATATCCGCACCAGGTAATTGTTAGACTTTAACTTTAGTTTCATTGACCCTTTTGGATAGTTTTCCTCACCAGTCAAGCTCCTCTTTTTCATGCTATTGTTTGAAACATAGTTAAAAGCAGTCTTGAGTTATTCTTGTGCTTATGATATTATATCTTGCAGGAGGGGACTTACTGATGAGCTTGGTGCTGAGGCCATGATGTTCGAGGCATTGGAGAAAGTTGAAAAGGATATAAAGAAGCCTCTCATGAGAAGCGACAAGAAAGGAATGGATCTTTTGGTTGCAGAATTCGAGAAAGGCAACAAAAAGTGCGTCATTAAACTCATCAACCACCCATACAAAAACAAGAACAAATAATTCCCATTGCTCCTTGTATATATTTGATCACATATAATAGCTAATGAAATCACGTGTTTGCATCACGTTAATCTGAACAGGCTTGGGATTAGGAAAGAAGATCTTCCTAAATACGAGGAAAATTTGGAGCTCAGCATTGCCAAAGCACAGTTGGATGAGCTGAAGAGTGATGCTCTTGAAGCAATGGAGTCTCAGAAAAAGAAGTAAGTTTAGCTCTGTTTTTTTTCCTTTTTTTGGTTATCAATCTTTTGAATCTTCATCATGTTAAAAAAACGATTCTTCAGGGAGGAATTCAAGGATGAGGAAATGCCTGACGTGAAGTCGTTGGACATCCGTAATTTCATCTAAGGTTTGATCCTCGGAAAACATTTGATTTGTTGTAAGAAAGGCAGAAGAAAGATCTCTCTCCCTCATGTCATTTGTCTTTGAAAGGGAAGATCATTTGTTCCCTTTTTGCTCTTTTTGGTTTGGCGATTAATAAGGTCTCACCATGGATTGGAAATTTACCAAATGTGGTCTAACTTTTTCTCTCTGGTTATTACGCTCGAGTTTCTTAGACACAAACAAACGTGGTTTCATGTTTCTGATAATGGTGATAAATGAAATTTCAGATGTTTTAAATAAAAAGTTGATGTTCCGAGCTTAATCGAGAGAAAAAATAAGCTGTTTGTTTTAGATTTGAGCAAGTCGAGAACTAAAGACTAATATCATTTAACAAATATAAATTGTTAAAAACTGGCTATTTAGGTCGCTTATATTGCAAATTGCAATGCAAAGATTAGAGGTTTCTATGCGTTTTCTGAGCATCTCTGGACTCTAGTTATATACTACTTTCTTACTGACGGCCAGAAAAAGCAACGATTTTGAACCAATCAGAAATCAACACGTCGCGTATTTATGAACAATTATAAAGGCCGAGTCCACCGTGAGAGACGTTAAACTGTGTATCTTGGCCAATCCCCATGTCGATTTCTCTGAAAGTAGCTTCTTTTCCACCTGGAACGAGAGCTTCTTCTCTCTTCCTCAACCGGTTCCTCACTCGCCAAGCGGCTTTCTCTCCGGCAAATGCTCTCCGTAATCTTCGTCGTTCCGAAGATGGCACATCGTTTTCCGGACGGAGAGTGGGTTTCCGTGCGCGAACCATTGTTCGATCGGTCCTGCAGACAGAGAAGAGTACGAAGACGGAAAAGCCTGAGCCTCCGGTCAGATTGGTTGCTCTCGTCGGCAAAGGAGCAGTAAGCCCACTCAAATCCACCTCTTGGGAGGAGGTTATGCTCCACACTGTAAGTCATTCTCTCTCTCTCTCTCTCTGTCTCTCTTACTTACATGGGTTCTTGCAAAATTTGGATTTTTAATTCGTTTTTGGAAAAACAGGCTAGACGACTGAAATGGGTTGATGATGGATATGAAATGCTCGTCTTTGATGATGGAATTTTTAGGTCAAATGATCAGAGAGCTGTGAGTCTGAAGCAGGAGCTGAATCAGACTGATATATTGGTAATAGTTTCTGTAAATAACCCAGAATCTGTGAAATGGATACAGAGGAACAGCAGCAACATCAAGAATATGATTTGCTTTGAGTCTTCTCCTGATTTGATGAACAGGCTTGGAGGAATCGATTTTGGAAGCGTTAACAAGGACAAGGAAGCAATAGAGGTTGTGAAGACAGTGGGAGATGCTTGGGAGCGTCGTAACTCTGATGATATAAGGTTCTGTTTGCTTGTGATCATCAACGCTTACATAAGACCAGTTCCTGTTTTGCAGAACTTGAGGTCGAAAGGGTTTTCCACACTTGGTTGTATGGTCAAGAACTGTGGACCTCAGATTTTGAACTGTCTCTTTGATCCGAACTGTCGAAAAGCTCTTCAGTGTTTGAACCAATGCAGTCCCGTGGATCAAGTGTGTAGTTACAGATGCATTGCTTCTTATGAGAGTCCATACTTTGAAGCATTCTCTCTCTGTGTACTACAGAAACACAATTGTCTAGAACTGGATGCGAAGATCCCTGAGAAGCCTTATGTGCCTCCCATGACTAGTTTTCGAGGGAAAGAGTTATGCCATGAGACAGCAGAAGACTTGTTTGTTGGATGGTTAGGGGACTTGGATTGGAGCTGGCGTGTAGCGGCTGGACAAAACCCGGCTTATGATCAGTTTCCATGTCAGTACCAGCTTTTCTATAGAGGGAAAGGGAAGTCATCGTTTTGGTATGAACCCGTGTTTCAGGTCAGGACGCTTGAAGAGAAACTGGTGTGGAGAAGGAGAAGATACTCGGTTAAGAGAGGAAAAACTCCTGCAACATTCCGTTTTAGCGTTTTAGACAATGGTGTGGTGTCAAACGAGTTTTGGACTATTGTGGATGTGTCTGATGATCTAAGTTGGGGACTGTTCCATTACAATGGAGCGGCTCGTGTAGCAGGACAGTCTTACACGGGTGCTGTGCTCGTGACACCAGATGGTTCGTACCCTGCAGAGAAGGAAAAGGAGAGATTGCGTTCTGCATTGGAGAAATGTGGGATTAAAGAGTGGGAACTCTTTGCTGTTGATAACTGTTGTTGCGAAAATCCGCCATTGGGGATTCCAGAAGGTTCTAGACTACATTCAAGAATCAGCATCAAGGAACCATGACTCTCCGTTCAGCACATAGAGAAGTAAAGCAAGTTTCCATGTAATTCTGTATCTACACCAAATCTGAAGACTTGGCTTTCTCCAGGTTTTTTTTTTTTTTTGTTCAAATGCTTTCTCCAGGTTTTAAAACAAATATTACAAATACAAATAACCAAGTATATCTGGTATTACACAGTCCCATATGGACTCATTATCTTGGATATCTCTTTCTCAATGTACATAAGATAAATGTCTCGAAGTTGATCATCTTCTGTTGCATCTTCAATAAGGCCATCCTGGATAAAAAATACAAAAAATTGTTGAAATCAACTAAAAACAAAAGAAGATATATTATATGGGTTTAGTGATTCTATATTAGATCTTTACCGTAGACATTACGCATTTTAAATGAAACCCTTCATTGCAGTGGTCACATGAGTATATCCTCTCGTGGCACTCTGATCCACATAGAGAACAAGTCTTCTTGTCCAATGAATAACTTAGCTCGAGTGTATGTTGATGCCGTTGATTCTTCACACTGGTCGGAAACCCAAGACACTCTACATGGGCTCTGAATTTACATTTCATGCAGCCGTAGAACAACGCACCGCAACGCCTAGCACAAACACTACAGACTCGAGTTGAATCTTTCTCCCAAAAGTTATAGAGATAGTGATCCCTGTGATACTTGGTCCTTTCTGATAGACCAACCGCTTTGACGCATTTGAAGTGGAAACTGACCTCGCATTTGCGACAACTATAGCCATACTTTGTAATATTCAGTTTGCAGACAGCACACTTGGATCCACTCACAGGGAAAAACCTAAGCTTGTGACCAGGGTGAAGTGGATGGCTTCGAAGTTTTACTTGCAGGCCTTTAATGCACCAAGTATGATACACTTCTCTACAGTCTACACACGACACAATTTTCCCACACAAACTCTCTTCACAAATAGTGCAAGTATTAGGATATGAGCTCGAAACAGTAACTTCAAACGAGCTATGGTTCTTGAGGCAATATGTTCCTCGGGCTCTAACCATGAGTTTCTGCCCTCTATGTAACGTCCCAAGGAACTGGCTATGTCTTAAGACGCAACGAACATGGACTATAAAACTGCATATCCGACAAAAGAGATTGAAACCAGATACTTTCTGGCTACAGATGTCACAAATCATACTAAACCCTGCAACAGGGGAATCAGGGAGGAGTGTCAAAGGATGTTTTGAATGAAGTCTATGCCTTATTGGTAGCCCTAGCTCCGCGCAGAAGTTATGTGTCTAGAAGCTACATGTCTCGCATTTACATGCCTTACCATATAATTTTCCATCACATATGCTGCAATCTGCATGTTCATCATCAAGCTCTCTTGAATCGACGAATCTTAGCACATGAGTGTGGCCAACACTGTTAACCTGAGATATTATTACAAACTTGAGTCAATCCAATGAAAGATCAGCATGTAAGAATAGATGCAAGAAGTCATACCATGAGTTTGTTTTCTTTTTTTCTTTTTTTTTTTTTTTTTTTTTTTTTTCATGAGTTTGTTTTCTGATTTGATGCTTTTGAAGTCATCTTCTGTTGTTGGCGTGATGCCTTGTCCACAAGAATACAGATCTTTCAAATACAATGGAGAAGGCTCTGCTCCCTGTTTAAAGTCTGTTATCATCATTAAGAGAGTAACAAAAAAAAAATTAGTAATTGCAAGAAAATATCAATTACCTTGCGTAGAACGCATTCCATGTGGGCCAAGAAAATCACATTTTTCGCTTCAATGAGTGAGTACCAACTCAGGAATCTCAAGACACTTCAAATGAAACCTAAAACCACATTCGACGCAGTAGAAAAAGGGGTTTCCACAATATTCCTTGCATATGTGACATTTTGATACTTTCCCTAAACGGTAAGTATCAAGATTATTTGCATAAAACAATCTGTGCTCATGAGACTGATGACGATGAATCAAACCTCGCAAGAATGTATCCGCACACCTCAAATGTAGTTTAAAATTTCATTCTAGACAACCAAACGGTACACTGTAGATTGTCATTCCACAAGCATCACAGTTTCTTCCACCACCACAACTTTGGATGTAATCAAGTCTTTTGAGAGGGTGTGGTGGATGAAGAGGGTGTTGAATCTCAGTGGGAAGATCAAGGCAATGCTCATGAAAAAACAAGTAACAATGAACGCAACCGTAACATACAGAGGATGGAGATAAAGGAAGCTCACAGAGAAGGCAAGAGCCTCTAGCGTCTGGTCCTGGTCTACACCTTTTAACCAAGTGAGCATGATTGTTGTGGAGCATTTCTTTGGCGTCCCAAAACCTGGAGATGTTCTTCATGAGCGCACAGCTCAGATCCAAGTAGATCTCACACTCTTTACACTCGTAAAACGAGCCAGAAGACATGTTCCCACACGCGTAGCATATGATGTGACTTGGCTTCTGATCAGTTTGGCGTAGACAAAACTCTAGAGGGTGCTTGGAGTGAAAGTTGTGAGACACTTTCTTGGGTAGATTGGAACAAGTTTTACAGAGATCGAAGTTACAAGGATCACATGCAAATTCGACAGGCTCGTCTTTGTAGCAAATGTTGCAGATCCCATTTTCGACTGTTTTAGGCGAGGTCAACACACATTCATGGGAGACATGCTTAAGCTCAGCCATTCGATCGGTGGGAGAGTGAAAGTCAACAAGAAGAAGAATAGAAAAGAAAGAAAGAAGAAGAAGATTAGTTCTAAAGATAATGTAAAAAATAATGTAGTCAAGATTAGGTGTAAAGATATAATGTAGTCAAGAAATTTAATTACTATGAGCGAATCTCTGATCTCTCTCTCTCTCTCTAGAAAACAGGAAAGTGTGAAAAGAAGAAATTGAAATGTTATAAGTAAAAGTAAAAGAAGACGGAATACGAATGTTGAAAGTAAAAGAGAAACATTCTAGAGAAATGAAATGCTTTGATAGACCTATTTTTTTGCTTTTGCTTTTATCAGTAGATTATAAGCACTCGTTAAGTTTTTGTTGGGAGGGACTTCCTTCTTATGTAGAAAACGAGTCAGAGCTAAACTCACATTAAACACTTCAAAGAAGATGGGAATGATATTTATAAACTTTTGTTCACAAGTTATAACTTGCATACATACCTATACCAACAACCACAAAATCTCAGCCACAATCACTCTACTGTTTTGTGTGACATTTTGATTTCTAGTTCAAGTCATGTGGAGAATAAATCTGTGAAGGACCTTTTCATACTTCGTCAGTCATAATGCCTCCATTGTGGGACATGAGAATTCTGTATATTCGCTTTGAAGAAACGTCACCTAACCTTATGTCTCCTCCTACTAAACCTTCCACCTTCAAGTCTTTCAGTAGATACTCCTTGTCATGAATCTGTACCCAAATTTTTAAACCAAAACCGAGATTTGGTTCAGAGACTATTAGAAACAACAAACTGAGCAAGTCAAATTCCGTAGTTAGTTTCTCGCAAGGTTTTTTCTACTCACCGATTTGTTAGGATCCATATAAACCTCAAGAAGAGACTTCATGGATGGATATTTCTTCCACACTGCTACAGCGTATCTTGGCTGCACCTTTGGTATTGCTACTAACGCTTTTAACCTGTAGAACACAATTACATATCGCATTCAGAGAGACTGAAACAAAACCTAGATTGTAATGGTTTTACTTTACTTTACCATGGACTCTTTTTAATCAAGTGTTTGACAACTGCATCCTTGGAGGCTACTACACCGTCAGCTTTTACTTTTAACCACGATAACTTATCCCTGTGCATCAGAACCACGGTTAGTTTACTTCAAAACCAAGCAGGCAAACCCAGAGAAACAAAATAGCCAGAACCACACAGTCACAATGCCACATGTATATATGTATCAAGTACTTAATATTAAACTTTCACATTCGGTGCCATTTAACTTACTTCACAGCCATGCATGATTTAAAATTAATACCTGACTTGGCAAGAGGCCAGACTACTTGTTAAACCAACAACATGTTCAGCCACCTCAGCCTCATCAATACAATGCCTGGAATGTACTCCAATATAGTGAGTAGTTAAGTTTGCAAGTACCTGTAAAACATCAGATGTGTTTAAAGACAGTAAAGAAGCACTAAGAATTTTTCCTCTAAACACATTTTCATTAGCTACTGTAGTGTAGTACCTCATCAATAGGAGGTTTTCTCCAACCACTGTGATTACCATCTTTCTTGTACTCAACCCCTTCCCTAGAAGATTGCTTTTTTCAGCTTCAGGATAGAAAAATTGATGCAACAAAAATTAACATTCTCAAACTAACCTTTTCTTTACGTAGGACATTAACTTGTTAGTAAGGTAACACACTGTATACGATGGGTATTGGTCCCGAACTCTTGAGACGTTTTCGAGAAGTCTTTCACTAGCAACAAGATTACAAAAGTCTTCAGCCTCGTACACAAGTAAAACATATGGAATCTTGGTCCCTCGGGGCAAATTCTGTAAGAGAGAAAAGAAGATGCAAATCAAGAGTAAAAGAAAATACTAGGTACAGCTGATTCACATAAAACTTCTAAGGCCCTTCAACCCATCACACAAGGGATTCTTTTCTTCCAAGGCCCTTCAACTCATAGCAAAAGGGATTCAAATCTAATATTTCATAATATAGCTCAATGTCAGGTGTTATGAAGTAATATTTGATCGATCTCCTTCTATAAAAAAATTCTTTCATTCTGAAAGATGGAAGTTAAAGAAAACTTTTAAAGGACATGTATCAGTTGAAAATCCAAAGCGACTGAGATTTGATCGTACCGGAGCAATATCCTCTGGAATTGTCATCGTCCACACAATGGATCTCTCGATAGGATTAGGGGCTATACGGAATGCAATGCCTTTCTCAGAGAACCTTAAAAGCAGAAGTCCTATGTCATCATTATACCAGAGAAACTCAGTGTGTTTATACATAAGTCACAAACCAGCCATTAAATATGAAACAAAAAAGAGAGTCAAAGAACAAACATCCTACTCATATGTTGAAGGATAATATAATACAGAGAATAGAGAATTTTTTTTACCTCCAATGGATCCTTCAACCACTTTAGTATCAATCTCAGCAACAATAGATTTAAGGGCTAACTTTCCCTTTTCCCATTTCTGCTTTTCCTTCTCTAACTTTTTACGCTCAGCTTCTTCTGCTTTCAATGCTGCTTTCTGTAATTTCTCTTGCTGGATGATGGAAGCCAGTTAACAATTGGTCCAGGGAACACAAACTAGAAAAGCCACGTAAAAAGACACTCACCTCTTTTCTTAACTTCTTTTCCTCTGTCGCTCGGATTCTTTCGTCCTTTGACATCTGTTTTTTTGGCATTGCTTTACCAGAAACAGATGTGTTTTTAGAGCTTCTGGTCTGCTTTTGTCGACCAAACTTCTCAGCGCTCATTTCTTCCTTCTCTTGGCCAGATTCTACCTGATTTTTGCAAGTAAATAACAGAAGAAACAAGCAATTACATTTACGTTATACAGCTTCTACCATTTGGAAACAAGATCAACACAGTGTGTACCAAACAAAGGAAAGAAACAACCAGCATACCAGTTTTTCTAATTTTCTAAAAGAACACTGAGAAAGATTACAAATCAAAATTTCCAAATTTTCTAAGTACCTCAATAGCATTGTTGGGAGGTGAAGATCGAAAACTGGCTCCCTGCATCCAATTAGGACTATTATCTGAAAGAAAACAACCACCAGCAGTTCATAACTTAAGAAGAGAAAACCCTTTGCAAATGAAGTTTCATCACGCATTATTTTCTATAACTGATAACTACTTCTCCTAAGCATATAACTGCGTAAAATACTTGGCCAAAACATTCTTGCATTCAGATCAAAGTTCTTCTCCTCACCAGAATCTGCATCACTGGATCCAGATACCAATTCACATCGTTGAACCAAAGGATCAGCATGTATGGGTTCATATTTCTTAGAAGTTTCAGGTCGAGGACTGTCTTCAGAATCCGAATCAAGAGATACTAGTCGTTTACCTAAAGAGAATTCCAAAATAAACATAGTGAATGTACAGTAAAACCCTAAAAAAGAAAGGAACTGAAAAGACTCAACAGGAATCACAAAAATTGACAAATAGAACAACCTCCCCGAGTATAAATCCCTCAATAATCGAAACCATTTCACCAAAGATAAACCGTACATACTGAAATGACAAAGACGAATTGAGAGATTTCTCGCAAAAGGAACGTCAAATTTACCGGAAAACTTGTCTTCGCGGAGTGAAGGACCTCGAGCTCCGGAACCCAAGGAAGATTTGACGACGGTGACATCGTCAGGGAGACATGACTCGTCGACGAGGAACGGAGTAGAAGAAGACCCCGGCGGTGCCGTGTCGGAATCCAAGTTTACAATCGTCGGAGTGGGATTCTTTCGAGCCCTCTTGGACGGAAATTGTGGTGGAGTAGACTCATCCTCCTCGTCGGAGATGAGAATGGGATCGCTCATGAGAAAAAACACTCACAGAAAAGGAGAAAGAGAGATGGAATTTGAATTTCGCAGAGAGTACTGAGTTCGATTCTTATGAAGGCGGGATAACTCTAAATGAGGGCGATACTGTGATAAAATTTCGTTTAAAGAGTGTTTGGATACACCGTTTATTGGATTCCAAACGATTTCAGAGCCTTTAATGCTCTCATTCACAATTTAGTTTGATCATACTTTTTTATCGGTTCTTAAATTTGAAGTCTATAATCATATTTGATTAAAGGTTTGAATTGTTTATGTTCAATAGAGCTTATTTTTATGAAATCTTATTCCAAATTTGGAAGCTAAACGTTACACATTCAAAGTTAGTTGAAGTTGGATCAATCATATTCGAGATTTGTTTCAAATGGTTTGTCAAGTGTCACTGACCATTGCTTTGTCTTCAAAACAATGTAACTATGTGCTACAATGGATAAGTATGACAAATTTAAGCAATTACATAAAGTTTGAATTCTTCAAACAAACAATAATCTTATATTAGCACCTGTCAAAGTAAACCAAACGCATTCACATAGAAAATTGGAAAACATCAAATTTTTAAAACATAAAATAGTTGAATTGTTCTTAACCGAATAAATAATCTTTGATTATATGGTGCGAAATTCAAAACCAATAATCTCAAACATTCTCAAGCAAAATCGGGGGAAAAATACCTTTGCAAAATCACCAATATAAATCGAAGATTGAAACAACAAAACTAAGAAGAAGAGAAAGAGAAATAAAAATCTCAGACATCCAAGGAAGGATAAGAGCTGCATTAGCTCTCAAGCCCGGCGAAAGGCGAAAGCTTTAGGCGGCAACTGCGAATGTTTTGAGAAACAAGCCTTTTGGATTTATCATCATCGATACATAACAACAACAAAACATCACGATGAAACCGAAAAAAACAAAACAAAACATAACTGTAATTCTCAGACATCCAAGGAAGGATAAAGAACAGCATTGACTCTCAAGCCCGGCGAAAGGCGAAAGCCTTAGGCGGCAACTGCGAATGTTTTGAGAAACAAGCCTTTGAATCTATCATCATCGAATTTTCTATAATTCTTAAAAAAAAACTAGATTGAAATTAAAATCAGGAAATCGGAGACACACAAATTGTAATTGGACAGCAAAATAAGGCAGGAATTCGAATTGTACGGTTTTTTTGGAGGAGAAGAAGAGATGAGATGGTTATATAGTGAGGGAAAGAGGTGTCGTTGGATGATGACTAGGGTTTTGTTATTGACCACAAGATGAACGGCTGAGATTTGTTTCCCTTCTTGCTAATCTGCTGCATCTATATGGGCTTTAGTTTAATTTAGTGACGACTAACTCCGTCGGCCCATTTAATGGCCCACGAAGTCAAACGGTTATGTTCAGAGTTGCGTTCAGAATTTTGCTTGCCATATGATCATTAAGAACGTTTTGGAAGCGGAAAATTACAGTTTTCAAGATGAGACGTGTCAAGACTTATTGTTATATAACAAAAATGAAACTTGGATTACAACACAAAACTCGAACAAGCAACATTACGCATTCGAAAACTATTAACATATACAAACCAACAAGTTAAATAAGCGACAGATAGTCCAAGAGACGTGCTTTTACTTTTTAACTTTTGAAAGACCAAACTTCAACTTAAGAGCTTTTAACTTCCACAGGCGAGACAATCGTCAGGGTTTGTCAAGGAACAAACCATCTGTGCCATTTTAGTTTCGTTGTCCTCTTCCTTTACTTGCTTGTCTCCTTCGGCTATTACACTCAGCTTCTCCTCCTACACTGAATCCAACAATAATGCTGTTAAAACAAAAAAAAAAGAATCCAACAATAATATTCGCAGATGTCCAAAATCATAGGAAGAATCAGTGTTTTAAGAGTATGGTATTGTTTGTTTACCTTGAGCATGGTTGAGTCAACTGTTATCGCATCTGCTGCAGCACGTGATCGCAGGTAATACATCCCAGTTTTCAAACCCTTTAGGTAGATTCAAAACAACAAAATAAGATCAGAGATTATTCACAGGACCAAAGACTATGAGTAATGGGCCAAATACTTGTTAGAATCTCAGTAATATTTTTCGACACTGTTTCACATTGATTATGAAACGAGTTTAGCAAAATATTTAAGGTAAGCTTATATCTTTTTCCACGCATGGAAATGCAAGCAAGTGAGTTTCGCAAAATTGGGTTTGTCCATGTGTATGTTCAAGCTTTGGCTTTGATCTATGTAACACCCACGGTCGAACAGCCATGTCCACTATTGTTCTTTGTTTAATCTCCCAGACAGTCCTGCATTGTCTTTTAGGAGAAACAAGTCAAATCTTGGTATCGGAACACAGTAGTGAGTAAGATCACAAGTTAAGTGAGAGTTGTACCTGTATATCGCCTTCAAATCATCAGGTATCTTCGGGACATTTACTATAGAACCTTTCTCATAAATTATCTTGTTTTTTAGTGTCGGAGTCCAAAGTCCCATGTCAGTTAAGTCATGGAGAAGATGCTTATTCACCACTACAGATTCCCCACTGAACAAACCAAGAATACCAAATGAATAAGCCAGAGGAGGAAACCAGAAATATAGATACATTGTCATATGGTCTAATCACACACCTCAAGACTCTGCGGCTGTAGACGTTTGAGGTATATGGCTCAAAACATTCATTATTCCCGAAAATCTGACTGGTTGAAGCAGTTGGCAAAGGTGCTACTAAAAAAGAGTTCCTTACTCCATTCTTTGATATCATATCCCTTAGGGAAGCCCAATCCCAACGGTTTGATGGAGTTACATTCCACATGTCAGGTTAAAGAATTCCCTAAAGTATCATCGGACAAAGTCAACTAAACAATCCACAAGGAGACATTACGAAATTGGTCAATGGATACTGAAAATTATTGTAGGGTGAGATGCGTACCTTACTCACGAGACTTCCTTTGTATGTCTCATAGCTACCATCTCTAGCGGCAAGTTGTGAAGATGCTTTGAGTGCATGATAGTATATGATTTCGAAAATGTCCTTATTCAGTTGTTGAGCCTGAAATCAAATATCTTAGAACAAAGAATAAAATCTACTTCCCAAGATTGATCATATCATTCAAAGCAAGTTTACCTTTGGAGAATCAAATGGCATTCCAAGAAGGATAAAAGCATCTGCAAGACCTTGTACACCAATACCAATAGGTCTATGACGTATGTTTGACGTTTTTACAGTCTCTACAGGATAGTAATTCACATCTATTATTTTATTGTGATTAATGGTAACACTAGCAGTCACCTGGCCACACAGAAAAATAAAGTAAAAGTCAACATTATATCACAGACAGGGAAATTTTATAAAGATGATTGGTTGATTTTCAGGTTTCAAGTCAAAGGAGGCAAGTACTTAGTATCTAACCTCTGCTGGTATGATGTACTTGCAATCTAAGGAAATACTGAATAGTACTCTGATTACGTATCAATCAAAAGAAGTTACAGGACTTGAGAGAATGTTTATGGAGTCTCTCTCCTCCCCTGCAACTCTGATCAATACTCTTGATACCTTACTAATGGAAATTACAGCATAAATACTACTACTACGAGAGGTCTCCTTTAAATAAGAGATTTGTGGTATTTTTGATATTCATGCTTTTGTTGTTGAATATGAGTGGAGAGCGATATGAGCTCGTCGACTATGGTGATGGCTGTTATGAGGTTATCGTGATGAGGAAGAGAGATTGATTCTGAGAGAGAGATATATCTTCTTGTCTTTCATTGATCTATTCTCTTGTACTCATCGTTATCATCAATAGAAGCAGCATTTACAGAGTTCACAAGTCTGAACTCTATCAATTGGTGCGTTGTGAGCTCGGATTGAATCTAACGCGATGGGATTCGTTGATGTACCTATATTCACGGGAAACGATGTGAGGTCGTGGATCACTTGGATGGAGAGATACTTTGCTCGATGCGATGATATCACTGAATTGCAGAAACAGGCGATGGCATTTGGTTTCATTGAAGGTGATGCACTAAGGTGGTATTGTCAAAGAGAGTTTGAAACCTGGAACGATTTGCGGAAGGCTTTGTTGATGAAGTACGGTGATGATGGTGATCCTGAACGTTATTGGTTGCTTGCCGAACAAGATCGCCTGAGGAAGAGATTGAGATCTTCTGCGATTCAATCTGAATCCGCAAAAGCGATTACAACGCTTGAGTCAATTTGTGTCGCAGAGACAACTCCAAAGGCAGATTCGATTTTTCCAACTGATTCACGTTCGGCGGCATCTGCTTCAATCGTGGAGGCTGAGTGTGTTGCATAATCTGAGGTATCACTTTCTTTCATGGAACCTGGCCTTAGCGATAAGATGTTAGGAGATTTAGAAACAAATATGGTAATTGAGGATCAACAACAAGTCGTATCAGAAGGATTGAGTGACGTCCTTGATGATTTACATTCTGCTGTGTCTGAGCTTTGTGAGAAATCAACGTGTGTCGACTCCACAACGTATGCCTTCAAGGTGTTCGATAATCGGATTCTTAGGGGACACAGACTTCAACATCAAAGGAAACGAAGGATATCTCCTAAGTCTTGGCAGTTTAAATATAAAAATGGGATGATAAAGCAGAGGAAGCAGAAATTTTTTTCCAGATCATGGAATTTCCAGTTTAAGAATAGCTCAGTGACAAGTGATTTGGTTCCTACGATGTTGATGAATCAATTTTCCTTCCTAGATCGACATGTGTTTCTCAGATTTGAAGAGCAGATTGCAGATTATATGGCTGCCTTGTTGAGGGACAATTTATGCCAAGGGTTATGTGCAAGACAGAAACATCAAAGGAGGAAGAAAAGGATTTCTCTTACGGATTGGAGTTTTAAATATAAAACTGAGCTGGAGAATTTTCACTCTGTTATGACTGAACAGTGTGTATTGCGATGGGGGAGGAATACAAGCAATGAGCAGGAGATTCAACCATTAAATGAACAGGTTAAGGAGCATGAAATTCAAGATGGATACACACTGGCCATGTCGAGTTATTTCACAAAACAGCTAGTGTGAATGCAGAGTGGGAAGCAGTGAAACGGGTACAGAGAGACAAATGGACTCAACCCTTGGATGGTGAGAGATGTCTGTCTGCGAAATTGCTGGAAGTTGGCCATATATTGTTTGAACGTGCCAGTTTTCAGTTTAATAAAGGATGTGGAGTAACAGGTCTGCTGGGAAATGCAAAAGATACTGGAGTTCAACTACCATCTCAAATTCAGCTTGGAAACATATTGCAAAATAGAGCATATGAAATGGCAATTCGTATAAATTTGCTGCTGTTACAAGTTTTGAATCATTTGAAAGAAGTTCAACAGACATCTACAAGCCCTGAAATGGCGCATGGTGTAACACTGTAGATATATACAGTCCTTGTAGACAGTATATGGAGACAACTTTTGATACAAACAGAGATTGGGGAGATAGCTGCAGAAGATACATAATGCCGCTTCAGAAAATAGCTTTAACTCTTTGGTGGTCACTTGCCAAGGAATCTTCTTATCTGTGGCACCGATGGCGTCGTATAGACAACCACAACTGTGCTTTCACAATACTTGCAAGCATAGGTCAGCCTGTGTTTAGGTTGAAGTTGACTGCCTCCTCTACGAACCAAGCTGAAATGGATGGGGATGTCAACATAATAGCACAACAAAGGCATGCGAAATTGAATGACTTGTTGGGATCAATCTCTGAACCTATGGTGGGAAGTAATTTTCAACTTAGTACTGCTGAGAGGATGAGACACACATTTGTGTCACGAATGCTGCGTAAAATGAGGATGAAACTTAATCTCAGCGACAAGGGGACTAAGGTGCATTGCCAGAAACAATATCTACATCAGATGCTTGCTAATGATACTAAGATAGAATTTGCTCACACACAACGAGATTTACTGCAAACATCTGCAGTAATTCAGCGAAAAGATGTGCAACACAAGTGTTGGAGGTTTCAGGAGGCCTGTCATTGTGTTCAACCTGAGTCAAATGGAAACGTTTATGTGTGTGGCATCATTGGAAGAACAAAACGACAAACTCAATATTGGAGTTGCAGCAGAAGGAAGGCGTCCCAAAACCAGTATTGTGTCTTTCCATCATTTCATTCTCTCCAAGCTTGAGGACAAGCTTTTCAAAAGGGCGGGGTATTGATACGTTCCTCATGACCAAGTGCAAGAGAAAGAGACATTTGACGTGGCAAGGGAAGGCAAAGACTCGAATACAATCAGAGGCTTTGCCGTTGATTTCATCTTCTTTAAATAAGAGATTTGTGGTATTTTTGATATTCATGCTTTTGTTGTTGAATGTGAGTGGAGAGCGATATGAGCTCGTCGACTATGGCGATGGCTGTTATGAGGTTATCGTGATGAGGAAGAGAGATTGATTCTGAGAGAGAGATATATCTTCTTGTCTTTCATTGATCTATTCTCTTGTACTCATCGTTATCATCAATAGAAGCAGCATTTACAGAGTTCACAAGTCTAAACTCTATCACTTACTCACAGGACTTCCTTTGTATGTCTCATAGCTACCATCTCTAGCGGCAAGTTGTGAAGATGCTTTGAGTGCATGGTAGTATATGATTTCGAAAATGTCCTTATTCAGTTGTTGAGCGTGAAATCAAATATCTTAGAACAAAGAATAAAATCTACTTCCCAAGATTGATCATATCATTCAAAGCAAGTCTACCTTTGGAGAATCAAATGGCATTCCAAGAAGGATAAAAGCATCTGCAAGACCTTGTACACCAATACCAATAGGTCTATGACGTATGTTTGACGTTTTTACAGTCTCTACAGGATAGTAATTCACATCTATTATTTTATTGTGATTAATGGTAACACTAGCAGTCACCTGGCCACACAGAAAAATAAAGTAAAAGTCAACATCATATCACAGACAAGGAAATTTTATAAAGATGATTGGTTCATTTTCAGGTTTCAAGTCAAAGGAGGCAAGTACTTAGTATCTGACATCTGCTAACTTATCAAAATCAAAGTGATGATTTATTGAGCCCAAACTGCCAGCAAGCTGCGGTGGATGAGAGTCCAATGGAATGTCATGTTGTGAGATGAAGAATGTTACATGGAGCGCAAAGAAAGAGTAAATTCACAGATACGGCAAACAAGTTACCCACTCACCTTCTCCCTTACAAATCTTGGATGAAATATATATGGATGAAATTCCTCACCTCTCTTTCATAATTAGTGTACAGTTTTTCAAACTCGGCGCCCCAGCAATCTGCCAAACCTGGAACTTCACTAGGACGAAACAATGATCACTGCCCATTGTTGTGGACTCTCTCTCCATGAAAAGATCTGGAATCCATAGAGCATAAAACAAGTCTCTAGCCCTGTGTTAATCCTGCACTGGGAAAAGTGTATTTAGAGGTCGTATCAGGTTAACTTAGATATTCCCTAATGACATAATTGGTATTGAGGTAATAGTAATGCGAGTTACTAAGAACCAAAAATATACATGGATGAAATCCCTCACCTTTCTTTCATACTTAGTGTACAGTTTCTCAAACTCGGCGCCCATCAATCTGCCAAACCCAGAGCTTCATTAGGACAAAACATACATAATTGGTATTGAGGTAATAGTAATGCGAGTTACTAAGAACCAAAATATACATGGATGAAATCCTTCACCTCTCTTTCATACTTAGTGTAGAGTTTCTCAAACTCGGCGCCCCAGCAATCTGCCAAACCCAGAGCTTCATTAGGACAAAACAGTGACCACTGCCTATTATTGTGGACTCTCTCTCCATGAAAAGCTCTGGAACCCAAAAAGCATAAAACAAGTCTCTAGCCCTGTGTTACTCCTGCACTGGGAAAAGTGTATTTGGAGGCCGTATCAGGTTAACTTAGAAATTACATTTTAGAAGAATATGGTGAAATATCTTGGTTTGAGTTTACCTTTCCATGGTTCTTCCGCAGCTCCAAAAACTCAAAGATATCAGCATGCCATGGCTCCAAGTATACATCAAAGACTCCTTCACCAAATACAAATTATACATCAGATAAACTAGACAGCATATACTCCACAAATGATAACACTAGCAAAGTATAACCTGTGGTGTACCCTTTCTCTTGCCTCTTCCTTGGTCAACATAACGAGCAGTGTCGTTGAATACACATAGCATTGGAACAATATCGTTAGACATTCCATTTGTGCCACGAATGTAACTTCCAGTTGCACAGATATTATGAACTGAAACACCAATACCCCCAGCAGATTTACTTATAACAGCACACTCTTTGAGTGTTTCATATATGCCTTCAATGCTGTCATCTTTCATGCATATCAGAAAGCAGCTGCTTAACTGCCAATTCAATAATTTTAAATAGCAAATCAGCATAAACGCGTTTTATGGATACATCCCCTTATCAATGGATTCACATAAATATCAATAAATAGCAATTTACCTGATGCATAAATAGCAATTTACCTGATGCATAAATAGCAATTTACATGAGGCCTTGGAGTTCCGGGTGAAGAGATTAGGAGACGCATGAGTGAACCATCTCTTCGACATCATATAGTAAGTCTTGATTGTAGAATCAACATCGTCCTTGTGGATACCAACAACAACCCTCATCAGCATGTGTTGAGGCCTTTCAACAACTTTCCCTTGGACTTTTAAGAGGTACGATCTCTCAAGAGTTTTAAATTCAAAGTAATCATATTCAAAATCACGGTCGTAGATGATTTCACTGTCCAGACGAGCAGTGTTCTGAAAAAAAAACCAATGAAACCACAATTCGGTGATATACAAGATAGATCTGAAGACATTTTTAACTACATCACACCAAGAAACACAAATTTTTTTACCTTCATTATTATCTCAAATACATCATCACCTATTAGAGGAGTTTCCAGTCCAGATCTCTCATTGACATGATTGTACATGTCCTTAACCCTGAAAAATACACACAATCCATCAAAGTCAACTCATTCAAAACAATAACTTAAATCAATGAAATACACACACAAAATAAAAAGTTCAGGGTAACACTCACGTCTCAGAAAATGATTTCTTAGTGTTTTTGTAGAGATTTGAGACAGCAATCCTAGCAGCAAGCTGAAACATAAACACACAGAAAACATGTAAATTATATGGATCATGCAAGTATCAGGTCGATAATTCAAACTATCTAATATGGAAGGTACCTTCGGAGGGAAAGGGGAGCGGATCGCGTAAGATTTTGAAACGGGGCTAGCGCCCCTGCTTCAGCTACACCTGCAAAGGTATCACTCTGAAAACCCATTTACAACCGCTCTCGCGGCCCACACCGAAACAGTGCTTTACCCCTAGATGTCCATTCAACTTGCAGGCCGCGAATGCGGTCCTGTAAGACTTGCATCCTTGCACCCACTAATTCCGGGTCCAGAGCAGGCGGGTGGTCCCAGAACAAGCCTTCTGAAGGTACCTTCCAGAGGTTTCAGAAAGATGGAATTCCGCTCCAATCTTCGCATCCTTCCACCTTGCTCCGATTGAGCCAAGGTTGGAAATTCCTGTGAGAAGGTAGGTGTAAACTTTTACTTATTCAATTTCAATGAAGAAATAGTCATTTTCAAGCTCAACTAACCGAAACCTAAAGTATGGTGAATAGTTTCAACTTCACAATTAAATCATATGAAACACCAATCTAATCAGGGAGATCATTCCTCTAGAAATGACTCTTCAACATCAAGAAGTACCCATAAAGCAAATCATAGAAAGGCAAACAAAGAGAGAGAGCAGAATCCTCAGAGAGGCATATTCATGGTTACAAGTCATAGCAGCAGCAATCTCAACAGCCAACTCGTCGAGTTAACTCCTTTATAGACACCAACACAGACTTTCTGAGCAATGAGGACAGGGTCAAAGTGGTCGCTGCTTAGCCCATAACTAAATTTCTTAAGTAGTGCAGTGATCTTATTGAAGTGAACGGCTTCCTACCTTCCGTCGCGCTTCACCACATACATTTTTCTATTTTAGGGGAAATAAAAACTCTTAGAGGAAATCTGTCGAACAGATAATGAGTGTCTAACGATAAGAAACACTATCGCTGAGAATGAGAAATGGTTTTATATAGAGATATGATGGAGACGACAAAAAGGGTTTTGGGAATTCGGTTTCAAATCTCTCTCTAGGGTTTGATTATTCTGATTCATGTCTAATTTGACTTTTAATGGCCGGTTTTCTTATCAACTTTCTCAGGAAAATATTTAGAATTTTTCCGCCAGCTTCTGTAAAAAGATATTGAGCTTTGTTTTTTAAGTGGCGGGTAAACTAATTCAAATTTTATTAATGGTTAAAATTTAGACTCAACCCATGAAATTCAATGTATTTTCGAATGGGGTCCAACTGTCTTTTTTTTAGCCGAGATTAACTTTCTTTAAAATTTAAATAAACAGGCTATTAATTTTATATTTTTTTATTTAGATATTATTAATTTCTTTTAAGATAAAATAAATCTCATTCAAAATAAAATTATACATAATTAAATTCTTTTGAAATAAATTAAATCTCATTCAAAATAAATTAGGTTTGTGTATAACATTCTTAATTTTACAAATAGATTAGACATTATTAATATTTGAGCAAAAAAAAATTGATTTCCATGTTGAATATAGGGTTTCCAAAGTCTAATCAAAGGACACGGTTTTTCAAACTGTTGTCTGCGTTAGACAGACTCAAAATATATTCAACAGTATATTTGATGTGTTAGTTTTTTTAATTAAAAACATGTTTTTATGAATCAAAACCATGTTTGGATGCTTCAGAACAGGAAGATGACAATAAGTAATGCAAAAAAAAAAAAATTTATCATGAAGTTTCAAAGATAATTTATGGTGTGTGAGGATTGTTGTTGTACAACGAGTCAACGCGGTAAACAATTTTAATTTTTTTGTTAAAACTATAAACAAAATTTTAAAAATGTATTAGAAGCAAAATAATTTCAGATGGTACATTAAACAGCTCAAACTTTCAATTTAATACGAAATAATATGCACGTAGTAGATTCTAAATTACTAGGAAAATTTGAATGTGTACTATGATAGTACTACTATCAGATTCAAAACACTGTTTTCATTTTCAACAACTATTCATGAAAAGCCATATATAACATGCTCGTCCTACACATTTTGTGATACAGCGTTTTTTTATTTCCACATCATAAATCTGTTTGTTCCAGAATAAAACTGTATAATTTTTGCAAAATGTAAAGGATAAAAGAGCAGCTCATCATCATGTGAGAAAACAAATATTTACACTTTTCATCTCAAAAGGTTCCAAAAACTATTTATCACACATTATCAACCTCCAACGTTAGATTAAGCACTACATAGATACACAAAATCATTGACACACAGGTTACTAAAATAGATTAACAAGCGTAATTAACATGCAATTAACCATCCCCCCTTTCCTCCATTAAGCCCTAATCTCCTTCGTTGCCCTGTAAATACTCTCAAGGGATCGAAACTTCTTTTCCTTCATCTTCTTGATGTTCGTCTTCATCTCCACGCCAAGATTACAATTCCCTTTTACGCCGTCGTTTTGCTCGTTTCCGATTCTCGAGCTAACATCTTCATGCCTTCTCTTGGCTTCTCCTCCTCGTCCTCTTTCGCCGCCGCCATCTCCGCCGGTGCTGCTGCTACAGCTCACCGTTTCTTCCTCGCTGAGCTGCATGAGCTGTTCCGCCGCTGCCATCTCCGTCTCCGAGAACACGATCTCAGCCGATTCTCTAGAAAATCCAGTTTCCCCCATTGGATCGTTCATGTTCCGAAAATTTAATTAATCTGGGACAAATTAAAATAGCAAAGCCAATAAACAGGAAATCCAAGAAATTAATCGCGATATTTTATTTTTAAAACTTTTGTCTTTTTTTTTTTTTAATCTCTTGTCGTTTTTTCGTTTTGTGCAATGGAAATAAGGAAAGAAACTACAAAGTCGGTTTCGTAAGAAGAAGAACGTGTCTTCTGATATTATTTAATTTTAAATGAAAGAGTGGGCTGATCTCGTGCAACCGTGTGTATAGTATCTCTTAGAATCTGATCCGTCAAAAGTTTATTCTTCACATGAAGCTTTGGCTCGTTGATCCAACGGCTATACTAGCTTCCTATGGTTACTTCTTCAATGAGGTTTACTTTTAGCTTAGAGCAATAGATGCGTTTGACTTCTGTTACACGATTTGGTGGGTTCCACGTAAGCCATTCCGATTCCAAATATGGAGTTGTCACCTAAGTGGGTCCCTGTTTCTCCTATCCACGTGTTGCAATCCCATACGTTAAAACATACTCTTTGAAGAATCTACAATTTGGCTTCATTAGACATTTGTATATTTTGGTTTAACAAATTTTACTATAGCAACTAGATTTTGCACCCACGCGCTTGTTGATAAAATTTATATACAATCAATTATATTTATTAAGATATAAATTTTATATATTAATATTTTAACAATATATTAAAAATATTATGCTGTTAATTTAATAATTTTTATGTAAATTGTGAAGTTTTAACAGTTTTGTTTTAAATCTATATACAATATGTCATATTTCAAAAACGTAATATTTTGTCAAACAATTTTAAGTTAATATACCCAAACCAATTAATTTTTTTATAAATTAATCAAATGCTACATTTTAAACATATTATTGACATGATGATAAAATATTATACATTCACTTTCATAAATCAAGAAGATAATTTTTTTAATCATTTTTCACTTTTATTCCAATTATAGATGTGTTTTTTTAAACAATTAAAAATAATTGAATTTAAAATTTAATCTTTTTTCTTCTCTTGTTTAACCAATACAAAATTTTATTTTGATATATTAATTTAAAAAATAAACTAATAAATAAAATGTTTGTTTTGAGATTAATAACAAACTTTAAAATTGAAATCAAAACAATAGTTGAATTAATATGAAATGAATAAAATTACACAAACTTTATGAATTAAATATATTTATGTCAATTGGTTGTGTAAACTTCTAAATAATTATTCAATGATTATACGTCATTTCTTCTAATAAGAATGAAATTTTGTTTTTCATTATGTTTATTATTATTATTGTTATATCTGTTTTTCATTGAATATATCATATTTATTTAATTTAATAATTTTTTTATGATTATATTCAGTTTCATCATATCATTCTCACTTTTTCTAATTATAATTAAGTAGGCAAAACTAATACATTTTAATACATACAAATTTTAAAAAATGAAATAACTAATTGAATAACTCAAAACTAAGAACTTTTACATTAATCTATTGCAATTCCAAGTCGAATATACAAAATATAATTTTTTGATCATTTTTGCATAATATATTACATGAGATTATGTGGAAATATGTTTTGCATATATTAAAAATTTTAAATAATTATTATTATTTGAAATTCTTGGTGAAAAACCTTATAATCAAGTAACCTAAGCTTGTATAAGTAGCATGTATTTTTAATAGATAAAAAAAAAATTTGTAAGTTAGAAGAAATTTTAATATCATGTTGTTTTTTCTGTTAATAGAGATTTCTTTATTTTTAATTTATTTTCCTAACCATAATATTAGAATTATAAAACTTTTTTAATTTACAATTTTGATATATATAAATAAAATTGAATTTTAAATATTAATAATGATGCGTTGATAATAATGTATATTTAACTGTTATTATTAATAGAATAATTTTAATTAACAATTTTTTCTATATTGTTTTGTATTAACAATGTAATTTTATAATTTAGAAACTTTTTAATTTTAGTTATTAATGTGTATTAATAAAATTGATCTTTTAAATCTAATGTGTATATTCTAAGAGCTTCAACTTTTATTTTTTTATTATAAATATAATAATTTTAAAATTAGTCTTTAATTTTAAAAATTGATGTTGATAAATAAAATTAAACTTTTAAATCATATGTTGGCATTTTTAGCAACATTTAATTTTAACTTTTATTAGTAATAGATTTATAAATCAAAGGTAGAAGATCTCACACGAGGCCCATTGCGGTAAATGATTTTGGTCTCTCATCCTTGTTTTGAGGCTTACCGAATGTATTCTAATGCTGCTTAGTCAGCTAATTGTTATCTTTGTGGTTCAGGTTGGGTTGTTAAAACCCCATCAGATGTCATGTTATATCAAAAATCTTCTTTGGGTACCTCAGTCTCTTTCGTCTTAATGAATGAATTTTTTTATATTTTCAGTGCTTTTTTTTTCAAAAGTCTTGCATATCAATCATTTGACATGTTTTCGAATTTTTTGAAATTTATCATTCTTTTCAAATTCGACGGCAAAGATTTGGAGATTTTACTAATGATTCATTCTTAAATGAAATCTGACTCTATTTTTTTGTTTCTTTTTTATTTGAAATGGTTAAACATATAGAAAAAAAACTTAAAAATTATTATAGTTATGTGACAAAAATTTGGATGCTACTTTAAGAGCCTCTAAATATTGTGCATATATATCTAATTTGAATTTAAAATTTTTATGTTAATATTATTTATTTTAGTTTTTAGTATTTATTTATCTTTAAGAATTTTAAAAACAATAATTAAATTGGAAACTCTTTAATTTTCAATGTTGAGGTGGACCAATAAAAAAATTATACAGAATTCTTTATTCAGAAATAATATTAGAATTTGTAAATTTCTTAATTTTTTATTCAACAATAATATTAAAAATTGGAAATTTTCCTTAATTTTAAATGCTGGTGTGGACAAATAAATTAGTCTTTTAAATCCTATGTGGACGCCTTGAAAAACATTTAACTTCAACTTTTATTAGTATAAGATTTTGTCTATTGCATTTTTTTATGACTATTAAATTACATATCATTCAAAGTAAATGATATCATTTACTTGCAAAAAAAATAAAATATTTAGATTGAAAATTTGATAATTCACGTAATTATTTCGAATATTTCTAACTGAATAAGGATTCCAATAACTGAAATTGAATAATACACAATTTATGATTTGATAATACACAACTTATAATTTTTTATTCGTAATTAGTGACTACACACGCTTGTCCTATATGCATCAAATTATAATTTCTAAACAACACTGCATCAAATATAGAGTTGAAGGACTTCCAAAAAAACTGAAAAACACTAAAAAATATATTAAAAAAAATAATTTTAAATTATTCAACCTTCTTGAATTTAATAAGATTATTAGCTAACTAAAAGACTATAACTGATTACATTAGTAAACAAATAATTTTAAATTATTCTACTTTCTTGAAAGGTTAATTTCGTTATTGGTTGATGGGTTCAAATTACCAAGTTCAAGAAAGATAATTTTTTTGCGCATTCAAGAGAAATCTTGTCACCAAGATCAACGTTGATAGGCTTACTAGCTATGTAGCAGAGCATTCAACATATTTTCACAGTGAACATAATCTACCAAATACAATCATTGGCATTGCGTATGATTACGTTGGTAGTAACAACATCAATCTACTTGAACCAATTGGTCAATTTGGTCATGTGCTATAGTAAATATCAGTAGTGGATCCAGAAATTATTTTCGTTGAATTATGAAAACGATTAATGAAACCAAAACCAGTTCAGATATTAAAATGATAGAATTAAGAAAAAAAATTGTTTGTGCACTATTTTTGATTTTTGTTTTTCGTTGAGAAATGATAGTTTACATGATCATGGAACATATACTTTTATGAAATGGAACATATATTTTATGAAACATATTTTACTATAAAAAAAGTTTATATATTTTTATTATACATCAAACAAAAATAACTAGAACAAAAAAACTATAAAAAGTGATGTATCCTTTTTTTAATTCACACTAATTTTTAAAACTGATGTTACACCTTAAAATTGTGTAACGTAGATATTAAATAATTATGTTTTAAAAAAAAACTATAAAAAGTTCGGATGCAACCATGTAACATAGATCTTTAACAAAAAAAAGAATGTGTAACATAGATATTAAATAATTATGTTTTTCCAAGATAATAAGAATCAAAGAATTGATAAACTTTCATGAAAATTCAATATGCATCTTTTTTATCGGTGTCAAAATATAACTAAAATATGCAATATTTTTATCATTCTTAATAGATTGAATACATTGATTGACATTTTTTTATTCGTAATTAGTGACTACACAACGCTTGTCCTACATGCATCATATTATAATTTCTAAACAATACTGTATCAACCGTTGAGTTGAAGGACTTCCAAAAAGACGAAAAAAGAACTAAAAATTATAGAAAAAAAATAATTTTCAAATTATTCTACCTTTTGGATTAATTTAATAAATTTATAATCTACCTACAATACCATAACTGATTACATTAGCAAACAAATTCAAAAAGAAAAAAAAAACAAAAGCAAAAACTCTCCCTAAAGAAAATCTAAAGAAAAATAAAAATAAAACTTATTAAGTTATTACATTAAAATAACAGAATTAACGAAGAAAAACTAACACGTTAACATCTGCACAGAGCTTATTTTCTCTACACAATAACCACCATCACGAGACTACACATCAACATCACTTTCTTCCACAACATATAACTTCCCTTTAGCCGGCTTCTTCTTTCTCATACCGCAGCAAAAACAGAACCATTTAGGCCAACAGTTACAGATTTTTCCTAGTGGTTTCTTCTTCTTTGGTGCATCAAATCCATAAAAGTGCTTGCCTTCTAAAGACACAACCTGTCCCTACATATATCGGTCCTTGAATGTCATTAAATACTTTCATGTTGATCTGTTTATCAACACCAATGAGAAGGGAGCATTAACATAAACAGAGCAAAGCAAAGACATTCAGGGTAATCTTACATCGAAGAAAACCACATTGCGATTTAAGTATTGATCGTGCCTATCAATACCATCAAACCTCTGAGGAAACTGAACATAACAGACTTTCTTTCCGGATTGAGGGTCCATCATGAAACACATAGCTTCTCTAATTGCCTTGTTGTTGTTGCTGTAGTGATCATAGATCACTTTAAGAAGGTAAGAGCATTTGAGAGAACAGCAGAGACCCGAATCTTCAAGAAAAGCTAAATGAGTTTAGTTTACGAACTTTGAGAAATCGAAAGAGATAATAGTGAAAATAAAAATATATCCTGACCAAGGAATTCATAGTGTTTATTGTTGGATGAACATTGATGTCGAAACCATCCTAATTTCTTGCTTTTTTTTTAATGAACTCGAAAAGGCCGGGTATTAAATTTTTGACCGCGCGCATAATCTCCTAATATTTCCTTAATTTTTACTAACTGCATGATAGCTATAATGTAGTTACTATTACATTAAAATAATAGAATTAACGAAGAAAAACTAACACGTTAACATCTGCACAGAGCTTATTTTCTCTACACAATAACCACCATCACGAGACTACACATCAACATCACTTTCTTCCACAACATATAACTTCCCTTTAGCCGGCTTCTTCTTTCTCATACCGCAACAAAAACAGAACCATTTAGCCAACAGTTACAGATTTTTCCTAGTTGGTTCTTCTTCTTTGGTGCATCAAATCCATAAAAGTGCTTGCCTTCTAAAGACACAACCTGTCCCTACATATATCGGTCCTTGAATGTCATTAAATCCTTTCATGTTGATCTGTTTATCAACACCAATGAGAAGGGAGCAGTAACATAAACAGAGGAAAGCAAAGACATTCAGGGTAATCTTACATCGAAGAAAACCACATTGCGATTTAAGTATTGATCGTGCCTATCAATACCATCAAACCTCTGAGGAAACTGAACATAACAGACTTTCTTTCCGGATTGAGGGTCCATCATGAAACACATAACTTCTCTAATTGCCTTGTTGTTGTTGCTGTAGTGATCATAGATCACTTTAAGAAGGTAAGGAGAATTTGAGAGAACAGCAGAGATCCGAATCTTCAAGAAAAGCTAAATGAGTTTAGTTTACGAACTTTGGGAAATCGAAAGAGATAATAGTGAAAAGAAAAAATATATCCTGACCAAGGAATTTATAGTGTTTATTGTTGGATGAACATTGATGTCGAAACCATCCTAATTTCTTGCTTTTTTTTAATGAACTCGAAAAGGCCGGGTATTAAATTTTTGACCATATAATATTATTATTATCAGCAAATTCCAAAATGAAATTCAAGAAACATGCGTGTATAGAGTACAGACCACTGATAATGGATATTTGGGTTACGAAGGCCTACATTAAATGAAACTTCAGTGAACACAAAGCCCACAGGTTTCAAAACTTAAAAAAAAAGAAGTAAATGTGGCTGCTGGGATTCGAGCCCAGGTCTCCACAGCCACAACGTGGAATTCTCACCACTAAACTACAGCCACTTTTGTGCTATGCTCACTAACACTTGTGTATTTATTAATTAAAAAACCGACCCTTTGCTTGTATCTTTGATATTTCCGTTAAGACCGTTACTCTATTTCAATAAGACCTTCATTTCTTTAAGTTCTATGAACTAAGATTAAAGTAAATTCATTTACTCTTAACCCTCTCCCACTTCCCCCACCAAATCCCACCTTTAATCTCAGTTAAACCTCAACTCTTTCCAAAACCACATTATTATAAATCAGAGCTCTTACCTAATCCCATTATTATCATCTCACTCAACACAACACAAAACCTAAAAGAAAAAACACGATGGCTTCTAACACAAGTCTCCTCTTCGCCACCGTCACTCTTCTCCTCGTCCTCAACATCTCCGGCAGAAAACTCCCGGCTACGGATTCGACCAACATAGCGGCGAGACTTACCGGAGGAGGACTCATGCAATGCACTCTACGAGCTCAAATCTTGCACCAACGAGATCGTTCTCTTCTTCCTCAACGGCGAGACCAAACTCGGCTCTGATTGCTGCAACGCCGTCGAAGTCATCACCACCGATTGTTGGCCGGCGATGCTTACATCTCTTGGCTTTACACCTGAGGAAACCAACGTCCTTCGCGGTAACTGTCAGCCCCTAAATTCTGGTGGTTCTTCTTCTCCAGCGCCTTCGTCTCCTGTGAAACTTTGATATATGTTCCTCTTATGTATGCTGACATTAAATATGGTTATAATATATAGTAGTTTTTAATCTATGGTATAATGAGAAAATGACAGTTCATTCATGTGAGTTTGTGATTAACACAAGGAAAGAGTCCATCAATACGGAATATCTTAAAATACATTTTAGAAGAGACAGAGCATAGAAACAATTAACTTGTCCAAGAAATTTAATTGATGATCTTGCAAATTTTTCAAGGCAAAAATCATTATTTCTGCTTTCAAAACCATTATCATATATAGTATGTAAAACAGAGGTTGTAACAGATTAACTTAAATAAGCTTTGGATTGGACAATTTGGACTTGGGATTGCTATGAACTTCAAACATAGATTTTAGTTTCCTAAAAGTTATACATGTTTTGGATAATGGTTATAGACTACGTTCGTAATATTTTTGGTGATTTCATCTTTTAAAAGTTTAAGCAAGGCAACAAGAATTGTAGTTAGCTATTAGAAAGAAACAATCCAATTAGAAGCCACAACAACTTATAACAGTAAAAATGGTCGTACAATAATAAAAGGCAAAAATCTTAAATAAACTAAAATTCATAGTAATGTTTTAGGCTTTTAGCTGATTGAATATACCAAAATTAAATAGAAGAAATTAAGCTTTAAAATTATCGAAAATTATAACATATACTATTTGGAAATTAACAAAAAAAATATGTACTTTCTTTTATAAATATGTATTTGACACATTCCAGACAATATCGTTGATAATTAATAATAATAGAAATTTTTGCTTATATAATAGTCTGCTTTTTGAATGATGTTACCTTGACCAATACGGCTAATAGTTAACATTTAAAACCTAAGTTCGAAAATACTTCTCTTTGCTGTTTGCATGAAGTTAACCCTTAGTCTTCAATCTCCATCAAGAGCGTTACTCATAGTCACAAAGCCAATCTGCCAATGTCAAGATACGTTTTCACTAACTATGCTTTAAAGTTCCATAATTAACAAAGAGCATTTACCATCGGTCCTTTCTCATTCCTCCCACTAATCCACCTTTTAATTACTCTTAAATCACCACCATTAGGTACTAACATTCAACTCCATCCAAAACCACACTATAAAAACAGAGCTCTCATAACCCAATCATCACCACATCCACACACAAAAAAAAAAAGCAATGGCTTCTAGTTCAGGTTTCCTCTTCGCCACCGTAGCTCTCCTCCTCGTCTTCAACATCTCCAGCAAGACACTGCCGATGACGCCGGATTACGCCAACATAGCGGCGAGGCTTAACGGAGGAGGACTAATGGAGTGTTGGGATGCTCTCTACGAGCTCAAATCATGCACCAATGAAATAGTTCTATTCTTCCTCAACGGCGAGACCAAACTCGGTGTCGGATGCTGTCACGCTGTCGAAGTCATTTCCAACAATTGTTGGCCGGCGATGCTAACTTCCCTTGGCTTTACCTCTGAGGAAACCAACGTCCTTCGCGGCATTTGTCAGTCTCCGAATTCCGGTGGTTCTTCTCCGGCTACTTCCCCAGTAAAACTTTGATGTATGCAAACGTTTAAAATGGTTATAATCTATATTTTCATATAATGTATTGGACTAATGGAGTCTTCTTTTACATTAATGGAGTCTCTTTTTGGATTTGCGTATGGAACTAAAACCACGTCTATACCATCAAATAGGAATGGTCAACATATAGCTTAAAACAATATTCAGAACAAAACAGGTCTTTTCAAGAAACAGAGCAAAGTTATAACAGATACAAATCTCAAGCAAATAACTTGTAGAACAAGACAATGACGTATGTACAATCCTAAAAACCCAGGAAACAGATCATAGTAAAGAAAATACAAGTAACTAGTCCTAAAAAAAAAGCTGGATTCTTGCTTCTGTAACAACCCTCAAGAAATTCTCAGAATTTTAGCTTTAAAACAATACTCATGGAAGGCCATTAAAATTGCTTTAAGTTTTTTTGCTATTAGCATTAGCTTCACTTACTAGTACAGAACAACCTTTTTTTTTTTTCCTGATTGTATCAGAGTATAGCACAAGGAAGAACACTTGTTAAGGATAATGCAATTCAAATGTCCTTAGAACATTGCATTTGATGCTGGAATATAGGTCTGATATCTGAAGAATCAAGTTTCTAAGTTCTAACGATGATTGATGAATCCTCTTTGCTGTAAATTACTCTTTATATTAGGCTCACAAAATGATGTAATTTGGATAACCTTTTCCCTGAAACAATAATTCATGGGATGGCAGAATTATATAAGTATAGTTTATTAAATATTTAAGTGATTTTAGCTTTCCAAATTGGAGTGGTTTTCCCTACCAAGAGCATCTTTACCTACCAATTGATTTGTAAATATTTAATGTTGAATATCTAAATCATCTTTGCTTTAAAAGTTGAAGTTGTTTTACCTACCAAAAGCATCTTTCATATGCTGCTTATAACCAAAATTTATATGCTATATTTGATAATTAGTGAATATAGGTTCCATGGAGAGTGTGTCCGTGCGAAAGAGAAAGTTCAAATGAGATAATCTTGGTCAACGATGGCGTTGAAGGTAATCAAGATATCCCGAGTCAGCCCTGCAACCCACTCGGTCGACCCGCTCATTCTCCCACTCACTTTCTTCGATCTTGTGTGGCTAAAACTCAATCCTCCCGAGAGACTCACCTTTTACAGACTCACCGAGTCATCTCGTGACTGCTTCTACTCTTTGATCCTCCCCAAGCTCGAGCGATCCCTTTCCCTCGCCCTCACGTACTTCCTCCCACTCTCCGGTCACCTCAAATGGTACCCACAAGATCCTAAGCCGCACATCATCGTCTTACCGGGAGACGCTGTCTCTCTCACAGTGGCCGAGTCTTACGCTGGTTTCTCTCGTATCTCAAGCAAAGGGCTTCGTCACGAGACTGAGTTACGCGTTCTGGTGCCCGAGTTACCAGTTTCCTCTGACTCCGCGTCTGTTTTTGCTCTGCAAATCACTCTGTTCCCGAACCAAGGCTTCTGCATCGGAACCAAAGTCCACCATGCCGTCGTAGACGGCATAACGGGGGCAAAATTCTACAAAACATGGGCTCACATCTGTAAATACGGAGCTATACCTCGAGCTTCGCATTTACCAATGCTCTTAGACCTCTTGTCGTATCTCGCAGAGGACAAAGACAGCGCAAGAACCCTGAAACTGTACTCTCCTTGCAAAGAAGAGACCAACGATGACGTTTTTCGGATCACGCTAGAGCTAACTCAAGAGAACATCGAGAAACTTAAGGAGCAAGCAAAGAACGAGTCAACTCGCTCTGATCTTCACTTGTCAATGTTTGTAGTCACGTACGCCTATGTGTGGTCCTGCATGGTGAAGGCGCGTGGAGGCAATGGAGATCGACCGGTTCGGTTTAGGTACCCTGCTGATTTCAGAAACCGGTTAGACCCTCCGGTTCCTGAGACCTACTTCGGAAACTGTGTCTTTTCCATCGTTTTGAAAGAATACAAAGCGAAGACGTTTTTGGGAGAAGATGGATTCGTAAATTGCGTCAAGGTTCTTAGCGATTCGGTAAAAAGTTGCGGTTCACGAGAGGTTGAGTTACTCTGGGAGCAGTACGTGGAAGGAAAAAAAGAATATGAAATTAGGTACACAGGAGTTATCCATAACCGGGTCTAACCAGTTTGGGATATACGGATCAGATTTCGGGTGGGGAAGACCGGTTAATACCGAGATTATGTCCCTTTACAACAACTATCAGTTCTCTATGTCGGAGAGGAGAGATGAACCTGGTGGCGTCGAGATTGGTATCTCTTTGCAGAAATGTGAGATGGATTTTTTTCTTTCTTTATTTACAAATGGATTCCACAATCTTTGTATTAGCCATCGACTCGCACAACCAAGGCTCCGATACCAATTTGTTATGCCTTAAACATGATTGTATGCTAATCGGGAAAAACCAAATTGAACGATAAGAGAGTTGGCAGATGAGAGATGAATCAGAAAGAACAAAAATTTTATCTAAAAAATGTGTGTATGAATTATGAACTTAACATTTTGGGACTGTTTGGATATGAAAAAGACCGAAATCCAATATACAGAGCATATAAAGAGGTAACTTGTTCAACAAGAAAAACTATATCTCTCAATATTTGCTTTTTTAAACAATAGCCAGACTACCAGGAAACAGAGTATCGAAAGAAAAGACAAGTATTTCTCCACTAAGAAAATCTCGGAATATTTACTTCATACATTACACCATCGATGAAAGACGAGAAATTTAAAAATAAAAAATGAAAGCAGAAAACAAACAAAAACCACAACAGACTCTAGACCAAGACTCACTGGTCAATATTATTCTCAGCTTATGACTTAAGCACGTTGAATTTTGAGAGGTTGGAAGTAGGATTCCATCAAGAATCACAAGACAATCATATCAGAATTTCATTTCTGGATTTTTTGTCAATTTTTTTGTTCAAAATTGAGAGTGCCTTCTCAACAGTTACATTCTCATCTCTTCCAAACTTAGTGTAGTAGTATGGTGTATCTCTAACTGCTGGTGATTCCGAGCGTTTTCCATATTGCAAACCAGTAACAAGTTTAAATTTATGAAGAGACAATCTTATTGGTTTTTCCCCAAATAGAACTCAAATTTCGTTTTCTTTGTCACTTCAATTTGCTTTGCAAGCAAAAATAGCTCAAATTTCAATAACAATTTGGGGTTTTTTTTTGGTCAATTCAAACAGTTTTTCGAATCCATTCTCTTTGCACACATCAATTTTGTCTGATTTTAGTAAGGCTAAAAGATCTTTTAGCCACGTCATAACTGAGTAAAACCTTCTCTCTTTGGTTCAAGCTCTGGAAGAGATCTCAACTTATTTGGTTATGAAGTGGCTAAAATCTTTTTTAGCCATAATAAAAGCGGACAAAATTAATGCGTTCAAAAAGAAAAAGAAGAAATTCGAGAACCTGTTTGAGTTGACTTAGAAACCCAAATGGTCTTTAAAATTTGGGATCTTTTTGCTTAAAAGGTAAATAGAAGTGGCAAAGAAGAACAAGATTTGAGTACTATTTGAGGGGAAACCAGTAAGATTATCTCTTCGTGAATTTATGCTTGTTCACTGGTTTGCAATGTCAAAAGCGCTCGGAATCACCAGCAGTACATCATACTACTACATAGAAGAGATGAGAATGTGACTATTAAAAAAGTACTTTCAATTTTGAACAAGAAATCCAGAAATGAGACTCTGATATGCTTGTCATGTGATTTGAATATGGAATCCTACTTCCAACCAATCAAAATTCGATTATCAAGATCACAACAGGGAGATTGAATTAGCCACGTCGATCACGAACCGGTACCTGACGTCAGACCTAGCCAACCGAGCCATGGCAGAGTTGATATCACTCATCTTTATGAGCTCGATATCCGCAACGATGTTATGCTTGGCACAGAAGTCAAGCATCTCTTGTGTCTCCTTCATCCCTCCAATCTGACTCCCTCCCAACATTTTCCTTCCTGTAACAGAACACAAAACCCTTATCATTACTTGCACAACACGCAATACATAAAATTACAACTTTCATATTTTTTCTTTTTTACCAAGAACCAGAGGGAAGATTGGCAGCTCGAGTGGCTTCTCTGGTAAGCCTAAAGTCACAAGCTTTCCATTCACTTTAAGCAAACTAAGCAACGGTAAAAGAGAGTGTTCTGGTGATACCGTATCCAACACGAAATCCATAGTCCCAATCGCGTCCTTCATCTTTTGCGAGTCCGTTGTGACGAGAAACGAGTCAGCAGCGAGTCGATCAATCGCTTCTCTCTCTTTCTCAGATGATCTACTAATCACAGTAACTTTTAAACCAAAGGCTTTACCAATCTTCACAGCGAGATGACCAAGCCCACCAAGTCCACTCACACCTAAATGTTTCCCTTTTTCTTCAGTCATACCATAATACTTCATTGGACTGTACACAGTGATTCCAGCACAGAGAAGTGGTGCGCCTGAATCGCTCGGTAAACCGTCGGGAAAGCTTAGGACAAAGCGTTGATCGACAACGATTTTGTCGGAATAACCTCCTTGGTTTCTGGTTCCGTCAATCGAGCGTGAGTTGTATGTGTATACGAGCTGAGGACAGTAATTTTCCAAGTCTTGATTACATGATTCACATGATTGGCATGAACCGATTATTACTCCTACTCCTACTCTGTCTCCTTCTTTGAACTTGGTCACGTTCTTACCAACTTTTGTTGCGATTCCAACGATTTCATGCCTAGCAAATAAACAAAAATAGTTTGTTAACGATTAAAGTTATCATTAATAAAAATTAAATAGTAATGGTAATTTAACTGTAATTTTTTTATTAATTTGATCTACTACTGCATATTTTTCTAAATGCCATATACTGTACATGCATAATTAATTTTTAAATCTAAACTCAAAAATATTTTTTTAAGCATATATAAAGAGCGGTTATTTTGGTATCAAACTCTTTTTCTTTTATTTAATAAAATCTCCATATTTTTTTCTCTTTATTCCCTATTTACCAAGATATCCTACAAAGGAAATAAAAATCTCCTAAAAAGGAATAAAAATAATCTGGACCAGATATAGCCATGAAAATATCTACAAGGTATTCGCATTTTTCAAAAATGGACCATGAATGACATTATATTTTTCAAAATATTCGTACTGTGGGAAAAAAAAAAAAAAAAAAACAGCCCTCAACTGAAAACATTTTCTTTCTCCACCATTGTTAAAATATCGATCCCAATATTTGAATCCTTATATATTTTGCTAAGAAAGAGTTTTTTGGGGATACCCGGGAATGATAGGGTAATGAGAGAATCCCCAATCGTTCTTGATGGTATGAAGATCAGAGTGGCAAACACCACAAAACAATATCTTCACTGTTACATCGTTGTCACCATTCTCTCTATACATATATAACACCAAACACAAAGGCAATTACTTATATCATCATACGATCAAAATATATCATCAACTCATTAATATCTTCCTATACAAACCAGCAGAGAACAAAGAAGATCGAAGTCTTGTGAAGAAAACAGAATACGAATGTTAAAAGTAAAAGAGAGAAACCTTCTAGAGAAATGAAATGGAGAGAGGATGCCGGATTTGTCATTGGCGGCCCAACCAAATGCTTTGTTTCGATCTAGAGATATCGCCATAATCTCTCTCGTCTCTTTTTGACCGATTGGGTTCTTGTTTTTCTCTTAATATATAGAGAAGGAGCGTGTGGGCATATATGGACATTTAACCCGTTTTTGCTTTCATCCGTTTAATAAGAAAGAAAATATTTTTCTTTAAGTTGATAAAGAAACTAATAAATTGTGTTGCTTTTTTTGGTAAACTATCTTTTTTTTGGGGCAAATTTGGTAAAGTATCTTATAAAACAAAATTTGTGATATATTTCTATAAATTATTAATAAAGTGTGTTTAAAAGATTAATTAAAAAAAAAACTAAATAGTGAATAAAATTGTAATCAAAAGTGTTTTAGAAGGATTTGTCTTCCTCTTCCCAATTTGGTTTTTGTACAAATTACCCAAAAAAAGGAGCTTTCTCCAATATATATCCACAGCACCATTGACTTAGAAGGGAACAAGATTTCACTTTTCAGTAGACAGTTGAAACTTGAAAGTATGAGGAGTTTAAGGATGACAAAGGTTGTGCGGTGTTTGTCACAATTGCTCAAGATGTAGTGTGGCTGCAATCATTAAACCATTTGAGTGGGATTTGATTAGGATAAAGTTACCCGGAATGTACATGCCCAAGGAGAGGATCGGTTTCACTCCTTCACTATGTGGCACAAGATTGTCCGATATGGCTAATTAAAGCTATCTTACATTTTTATATTCATTTTACCAATAACTATTCTTTTATATTACCAGTTCCCTAATTATCTCTGAATTCTTCTTGCGGCACTGATGTACATAGCGTATGTACATTGTTTCGTAACGTTCAAATCTTTGTTTTGTCAAAATTTAGAAGATTCTGCATGTATATATATCTTTGTATGCCAAATGTGTAGGGTAGACATCTTTGTATGCCAAATGGTTATTACATGCTTAACTGGTATGTTATCTAAATGATCCAATAATTAAAAGAACTGGAAAGTTTATGCGAAACATGCACTTATAGAACACCAAATATCAAAAGAGTTTATTTTGTTATTCTATTATATTTTTATCACGTTCGTATGTAGCAAATCAATTTTCAAAAAATAGGAAAATGTGAAAACTCAATGAATAATCCGAACGATAAAATATAGCGGAATTATGTGAAATCGTGGAAACTGGTATATTCGTCACTTCTGTTAAATTGTTAACAAAAAATATGTTAACTTGCTATTAAATCATTTGGCTTAGAAAAAAATCTCTAGAAATTATAATTGATGCAAAATTATAGGTAAATAAAACTTCTATAATAATGAACAGTACTGTGTGCATGTGAGAGAATTATTAGATATACGAAGTATGTTGGGAATTTTTTATTTTGTTGATTTATTTCTTATACTATGTTGACCGATACGATATTACCAAACAGGAACATGTTCAATCATATGATATGATTATGAAGACGGAGCTTTTATGTGATCATAATATGATGGCGGAGGACTTTTTTTGCAACAACAGATTATACGATCGGTATTGGAATATTTTTTTACACATATTCCTCCATAACTTGTCTCGTTGCATTGTGCTTTGCACTCTGAACATGATATGTTTAGATCTAAACATATGAGCATTTGGTATGAACTTGCTTGTCCTGTAATTGATAATCAAAAAAGGGAACCATACATTCAAATATCATGACCATCACAAAAATTCAGCTTTTGTATTCAAAACTTAGATAACAAATGACTTACGTGAGAAGAAAAGCAAGAAAATGGTTGATATCAGAAGGGAACATGTTCCATAAGCATGTGCAGATTTCTTGCTTTTCATTTTCTGCAGATATCTAATTTTACTTTGTTTTTTTAGTTTAGTTGTAGATTTTTTTTTTGTTGAAATTCTAACATGCTCCTAATTTAAGTCTTATGGTGGCTCAAACAGATATCCAACAATTATTAATAACAAAAGTCAAGACACAAATTTGTTTCCATGCAAAATAATTTTGAATACTCGTGGTAAAATGTATCTTGGTTACCTAAAAAGGGCGAGTAGTACTGTATTTCAATTTCCTCTGTTTATGTTCTTATTCTTTCTTTTTTTGGTGAAGTGTTTATGTTCTTATTCAACTTTTGTTATATGGAGACCAAAAATTCAATATACTGTAATCCGAAAGATGTTGACTGGAAAACAATTAAATGCGACTTTCTACAAATAGTGTGAAGATGAGCTATCTAGTAAAACAAAGTTACCAAATCGAAAACAAATTGAAATCAATTCGGTCAACTGATTTATTTGTTACTATAATTGTAGTGACATATAGTATTATGTTTGCAAATATTTTACAAAACAAAACTCTGTTTTAAACATTATTTTCTCTATTAGCTTCTAGTATCTCGTATCAAGTGAACTACTTGGAAGAAGAAGAGTCAAGTACACGAACGGGAACAATGGGTATGGAATCCCACCACTCCTTCATTCTCCGGTTACTCTGATCGTTGCTCATCATTTTTCCGATAGGCGATGTCATTACAAAGCAATATACTATACCAGATATGATGACCAACTTGAACGGCACCACCGCAAAGAAGCTCGCCAACACTATCATCGACCCCATCACCATGCTTGCATGCTAAGATTCAAGAGGTTAATTAAGAGACAAAAACAATATTATCGAAGTGATATATAAACAGTAGCTATACCTTGCTAGCTTTGGAGGTATATATGGACCGTAACTTCATGATGGTGACGTTGACATGCTGCATCAGCTGGTGTACTCTTATTACACCATATTGAGCCGACACAATGCTCTCGGTCACTGTTTGGTCCGATTCGGTGCTCACTGTTACCGTATCCTCACTTTTCTTGTGGACCATCTTATTTCTAGTCTGAGCCATTTTAACCACCACCCATATTAAGCAAGCAGCTATAGCCTTACCAATCCATTCCCTGTAACATACATTTCAGTTTCTTGATTAATAGTATATATACACCATGTATTTACTCTTCTAGAAAATATAAGTTACTTTAAACTCACTTGTAGACGGTGAAAATGGTAATGGCTAAAATGAAAAGCGTACGAGAAGGCCTTTTCCAATAAAGCACTTCTTGAAACCATGGCAATGCGTCTTGTAGTGGCTTCATCAATTCCTGAAAGATACCTCATTAATGTCAGTTCAATACACCTTAAAACAACTAATCAATCTTTTGGCACCTAATATAGCATATTTTGGCACAAAAATCTTCTTACCATAAGAACTGCTACACTTTCACTAATCCCTTCTTCTTCGAGCTTCGTTGTCGTAGCTTTGGCCTTTTCAATCTCCATTCCCTCTTCTCTCGATTGATTCACAGCACTTTCAAGGGACGCAAGCATTTCTTCTTTGTCAATCACTTCCTCCTTCTCCTTACACTTATCTTCTCCCTCTTCTTTTAATAAGTTACCAAGCTGTTCCATGTTCATATTCCTCAATATAGAGCTAGCACTACACGGGTTTTTGGTAGTACTCATCTTTAGACTAATCTCTGCGAGCTCTTCTAGTACGAAGTCCCCCTTAGGAACTTCCTCAAATAAACTAAATATTAAAAACTTTTTTGGATCTGGAGGCGAAATTCTCAGCATTTCACGGGCTGCATGCAACCGTACGATTCCCAAGATTGTTCTTGAATGGACTTCCCATGCTTGTAAGGGAGATTCAACATTGTATTTCCTCAAGAACTGATGCATTAATGCTATCTCCTTAACAAGCATAAGCCAATGATCTCGTCTCGTTGAGCTTGTCATCTCTGGAAACTCCAAGACAATTCCATCCTCACTTAAAAAATGCATCAAAAAGACAAATATGTTATATAAGTCATAAACAAACGAGGCAACATTTTATTAGCCTAGTAATTTCCCTAATATATACATGTTCTTTTACCAAACAACACTAAAACGAAAGTCAATAAATAGCTCTAGGTCAATATAGATTGAAATAATTTAAAGTGAACCAACATAGATAGTTTAGACCATGCAGAAATTCTTACAGATCGGGAGACTCGTAGATAATGGCCTTGTCAAAAAGAGGGGCACCCCATGGACCAGTGGAAATAGGCTTTGCAGAATTTGCATTGTCTTTGGTAAGATCTATCTTAAGAGCATCTTCATAGTTTATAATTCCCGCGGCTTCAAAGTATAGTGCATAGTTTGTCAAAGTAATCCTACCTACAAAAGTCAGAGACATTTTGTTGACAAGTTATAGCAGCCATGACTTTGAATCAAACTTGACATGCATGACATAAGGAAAACAGGGAAACCAAACCTGGCCAGCTTGTTTCTTTAATGTGGCGAACCACTCTTTGTGAAGCCATTGTTCCTTCAACATGCAGTATAACTTCATCATCCGCTAACTCGACCCCTTTAGGTTTTGCTTGCTTTTGCAAATGCTTCATACACCTTGTTATATATATACACAATTTGTACGAGAATAAACCAACTTATAGAAGAAATATACATGATTTATATATCGGGTCTAAAAAACCAACAATATGCTCTATATAAGAAGAATTACTTGTGTATTTCTTTGACAAACATATCGTAAGCCGGGAAGTGAAGTTGGTGGCCGGTAGGAGCCGTTAGAGTCTCAAACGTGTATCTTCCGTTGATGACATCGACGGGGAGAGGCACGATTGAGCCCAAATAGACAAATGCATCTTCACCAACACTTGGTTCATGATCAGCCTAATCAAATTCACACATAACATAAAAGTTGAGGTAACAATTATTGTTTATTATATACAGTTTAATATTCAGTGTCATATACTTTGACAAACAAGAATTTGCTTACGAGAAGCGGCATGATGTCTGAATAAAAAAGAGAGATGTCATCTTGCTCTGGGGATAAGGTTGATTGAATCCTCTTGTCTTCACTCTCCTTACCTACTGCTTCCTTTTCACACAATTATATTAACATGAATTAACGACTCTAATTCCAAGAAATGATCAAGAAGTCTCAAGGAGATTTAGTAGTTACCAAATGAGAATCATTGTCATGTGCATCAGGCTGTTGCCACGCAAGCATCATATCGAACGTGAGACGAGTAAAAGAACCATCTTTGATTCTCTCAGGTATGTTTTGGTCACAAAGCCGACTCATCATTTTTGAGTTGCAAAATTCCACAAACTTCCTCGAGTAAGTACCTTCCGTTCCAGGCTTCCATTGACATTCAAACTCTTCCACCATTTTCTCAATGGTTGACTCTAGTTCCCTGCAACACCAGTTAGTTACCAACAATTTCACCAAACTATTTCCAAATTAAACCAATGCTAAACCGGCAGGAATCAGCTTTAATCGGTTTGCTGTTCTTTTGGCTTAACCACCAAGGAAACGATAAAAAATCCCAAAAAACTGCTCACTTACACGAATTTGAGTATATATGTGCTTTCATTTCCGATTTTTTTTTTTTTTAAATTAACCTTCTATATAATCAAAACATATATAGATCTGCAAATATGTAAATTATATAGCCAGGGAGAGAAGAAATACTGTGAGCATCTAAGAACGACGTCGTTTGCAATGGAGGACAAGTGCTTCATCTTCTTCATCGTTTTCTTTTTCTCGTGATCTGTTTTTGTTTGCTGTTTTTTCTTTTATCTTCTTTTCGCATTCGGTTTTGGTGACATTGATGTAGTGAGAAAAACTCGTTCACTGGCAACTTCTGCATATGCCACGTGGCACACCCATGCAAATAGGCGAAATATGAGAATCGTAGATACAAACGATGTCGTTATTCAGTGAAGGTGTAGAAAATTATTCGCTTTGTTTCTAACTTTCTATTGACCAACCTAGGATCCCACAAAATAATCGAAATACCCAAACCGAAATTCATCAATCAAAAATTAAACCCAAATTTTGTTATTGTACCAAATGTATTGAACCAAACTGAACCGAACCGAATAAATTGGAATGAAATTCTTTTCTTTGTTCAAAAATTTTGAATGAAATTCAATTTTTAGGTTTTTTCTTCCAAAATGACACATTAACTTCTCTGCAAGACAAGCAAAGTGCATATACGCCATCTATGAGCCTGCAATTTTACACTCTTATATCAATTGAAGATTATATTAATTTGTTTTTATAGGATATGTTGCGATTTTCTCCTTCTTTGTGCTCGATCTAATTGCTGATCTAAGGTTCCAAGTATTATCGCTTATGCTCTGTTTCGTTTGTTGCAGGATTAAGAGAAGTAAAACAGAGACGACACGAGATTTACAAGTTCCCAAGGCAAAATGCCGAGGTATGTCTTGGTGAGCAAACCTCCTGCACTACAAGAAAAACATCATTTTACAACGGCCGAAATAATTGTTATTTCGTCGTAATAGGGCTATTACGACGGACTACCGACGATTTCAAAATCGTCGTAAAGTCATCGTCGTAATAAACAAATCGTCGTAAAATTGTCGTATAATATACGACGGTTTCGTTTCGTCGTAACATCGAGGGAAACAAAATCGTCGTAAATGCGTCGTACAGTTTACGACGATTTTACATCGAATTGCGTCGACTTGGTCTTCGCCTGAACCGTCGTTAAGTGGTCGTTAATGGTCGACGTAAGATCGTCGTAAAATGTACGACGCATAAATCGTCGTAAATCAATCGTACAGTATTTAATCATTTCGTCGTAAAATCGTCGTAAAGCACGGACGTATAATCGTCGTATTTGTTGTCGTACATTTTAGTCGTAAATTCGTCGATTACGACGATTTTAATAAAGCTATTACGACGATTATACGACGTTTAATATAATTGAAAATTAAAAAAAATTAATTCGAATTAAAATTTAAATTAAAAAAAATAATTTACAATTTAAAATTTATTAAAATTTGAAATTAAATTAATTGTAATTTACATAAAAACCCTACAGATCTAAATCTAAATTTAAATCGTCGATCCCGTCGATTCCGTCACCGGCCTCCTCCCCATCGTCCTGGACGTGTTCCTTGCCGGGTCTTTGGTTTGATGCTTCCGCCGGCGCCTGATCTCCGGCTCTAGGAGGCTCAACCCCGAGAGATCGGAACATCTCCTCTTCCGTCTGCACCGGCGGTTGCGTCCTAGTGGATGACCCGGCGGCAGACGAGCCGACAATCCCATCAGCCCGCAGCTTGTCCAACTGCGCCATGAGTACCGGGTTGTCGGCTCCCATGATCTCGAAGAGACCGTAGAGCTGGTCGATCCTCGTCTCGTACCGGTCCGCATCTGGTCAATCTCCTAATCTCCTGGCGGATAACCGGATCCGGGACCCGGACGTGACCAGTCGCCGTAGCTCTCGGGGTATCACGGATGGATCCCATCCCTAATATCCGCCCCTTTTTCTTTGCGGCAACCTACAAATATTTTAAAAACATTATGGTTAGAAATTTAATTTAAAATTAAAGTTACATTAATTAAATATAGTAATTAAATTTACCTCTTCGAAGATCTGGTCCATCTCCGCCACCGTCAGCGCCGGGTCGATTGGACCGAGCTACCTCCGGGAGACGTTTGACGCGCCTGCTGAGTCAGCTGCGTCTGTCGCTCCTCGATCGCCGCACAGGCGGCGTTGTACATCTCCTCCGCCCGAGGATCCGTGAATTCGCCGTTACGCTTCTTATGCGTCTCGGCGAAAACCTCGGAGGAAGTTCTCCTCCGTTATCTTCGACCTAAAAAATCAAAATGAAAAAATTAATTAGTATCGAGAAATAATAGTTAATTATTTGAAAACAAAAAAATTAGTAATTTAAATTTACTTACCATCATAAGCCGTCTTCCGGCAAAAGGAATCTGGCCGGAAGTGTGCGGAACGTTCTTCCGATTTCCCGCATCGTCAGTAGCGTTCCTGAAAAATATTTTCATTAGAATTTATTATAAGAAAAAAATAATGTTAATATTATTGAAATTAACTACTTACCTAGATCCGGAACACTTGGCGGCCGTAGTCTGGTTGTGCGGATCCAACCAGTACTGGACAAGGCCCCGCCAGACAGTATTGGCCATAGACGCCGGCTTGGCCTTGTCGCCGTCAACCTCCCATTTTCGTTTCCAGTCGGAAACGGTGTTGTTGAGGCGGAATTTGACCTTCTCCTTGAAGGCCGTCTCCACACGTCCGTGTGCGGATGTTTCCCAATGCTAGTTTTGCTAGGAAAAAAAAAAGTTAGTAATTATTGTAAAAAGTTAAAATTTAAAATTACAATTAAACGAAATGGTAAATTACTTACCGCAAAACATTTGAACCAAGTGTCAAGTGTGGCCTGATCCAGCTTCTTCTAGCTGGTATGGGGTTGTACGAAAAACCCTTTGATGATATCCGCAACGTTACGACCGACAATGCAGTCGGTCGTAAACCTAGTCAAATGGAAAGAGAAAAAGTAAATTAATATCAAATATATAAAAATAAATATTAATTAATTTAAAAAAATTGTAGGAAAAAAATTACGTACCAAAAGGTGCCCGAGGCTCGATCCGGGTCGAGTTTGTTCATGGTCTCACGACCGGGTTGCGCCAGAAGATCCTGTACCGTAAACTGGGCATACGGTACAGGCGGGATCAGATCAGCCTCAGGATCAGCCTGTGCGGGAGCCGTTGGTTCGGCTGGTGGTGGTGGAGGCGGTGCCGGCTGCGGAACAACGACCGGTTGGGAAACCGTCCGTTGTGTTCCCGAGGACTCTGGGATGGTTGATCCGGTCGCCGAGGTAGACGGGGCCGTACCGTCAGAATCGACGAGCTGTCGGTAGTGAAATCTGTTAGCCCGAGGAGACATATCGACAGAACCTACAAAATTTTAAAAAATTAGTTACTAATTTTTCAAATATTTATTTAAATTTACCAAAATCCGGGCCTAACTAAATTCTGAAACCTAAATCTAAATTCCGAACCTAAATCTAAATTCTGAACCTAAATCTAAAATAATATGTAATGAAATTAATTTAACAAAAATACTTACAAATTAATTGGCTGGAGAGTAGGGAGAGAAGGGAGAGGTAGATTTCTAGAGAGATAGAGAGATTTCTAGAGAGAGAGATCTAGAGAGAGAGAGGGAAGAGAGGAATGAGCGACGAAGGAGGAAATCTCGCGTCCCTTATATAGATTTTGTGATCGTCGTAAACTCGTCGTAACATTACGACGGTTTTACGACGATTCGGTTGTATAACAGTCGGTCCACTGCATGACATGACACGTGTCGTGATGGGAGCATTTGACCGTTACGATGGTTTTACGACGATTAAACCCAAAACCGTCGTAAAATCGTCGTAACGTCTAAACATTCATAACCTCGTACCTCGGATCAAGAGCCTATCCGGTGCATAAGATTTAGGGTTTACTCACTTTTTTAAAAAACATCGTAAAACCGTCGTAACTTTACGATTATATTACGACGGTTTTACGATGTTTTTTAAAAAAGTGAGTAAACCCTAAATCTTATAAATGGGATATTGCATAAAGAACAATGCAAAAGTTATTGTATCCTAACATATAACAAAAGGTTTACAACTTTGCATGTATGATGGATTTATGACATGAGATAGTAAAAATTGAAATTCCGTAATATAATATATAACTTTTCACTTAACATTTACGAAAACATGCATGAAGTTGTAAATATGTATGTTTTTTTTCAAATTTTTGATTTTGATCAGATTGATAGCATTTCATATAAAATAAGATAACCAATCAAAAACATTTGTGAAATACCTTACAACCAATAAGATATAAAAGATTCAAATTCTTGGATTTCAACATTACGACGATTTTACGACGAAATAGTGTACTCGTCGTAAAATCGTCGTAACTTTACGACGATATTACGATGGTTCGTCGTAAAGACGTCGTAATGTTGAAACCCTATTCATTCAGGGCTTAAAACCTAGACTTAGGGTTTAGGGTTTAGAAAAACCGTTGTAAAACCGTTGTAAAATCGAATTTTAGGGTTTTTAAAAAATTCAAACAAACAAAGTTACAAATTACATAATAACAAACATTCACTATATACAATGCATGAAACTCAATCAGATTCATCTTCCTCTATTACTTCATCACCATCACCGTCGTCTTCTTCCGCCAAATCGTCATCATCGGTTTCAGCAAACTCATCATCACCTTCTTGTTCTGTATCATCGGGAAGATCTTCAACTTGCCTGTTCCGAGGGTCTATCGTGTGGGAGATGAACAGGAAGATGTTCCATAACATCAAAAAATGATGGTGGGAAGATCTTTTCCAAATTGCACAACAAGATTGGAATATCCAATGCCAGTTGTGATATTACATCAACTGATAATGTTCGTGTACTAAGATCCCGAAAAAAAGCACCAATGCCTCCAATAGCTTCATGGACGTTTTTGGGCAAGAGTTCAGCAAATGCAAATGGAAATAATCGTTGCATAAACACATGGCAGTCATAGCTTTTCATCCCAGCAAACTTTACCCCCTTTTCAACAGATTTGGAAAGATTAGAGACATACCTATCAGGAAATTTAACGTCAGAAGAAACCCATCTGAACAATGGTGACTTTTGATCTGCACTCAACCGAAATACAGGATCTGGTGCTTTCCCGTTTCTCAGTAGATGCAACTCACTTATGTTGCATAAATCAGGCAAGTCCAATATTGACTTACCATTGTCTTTTGTTCTTCCCGCTACGTTCATAACTGTATGCATGATGTTATCAAAAAAGTTTTTTTCAATGTGCATGACATCAAGATTGTGTCTGAGCAGATGATCTTTCCAATAAGGTAGTTGCCAAAAGATACTTTTCT